TGACACTCTCCGCAACCGGTGCAGAAGGTGGCGAAGGCCCCCGGAACCATATTCAAGTCCTAGCGAACTCAGTTGTCGCTACCATATTATCGATCGCTCATACGATTATCCTGGCCAAAACAACAGGCACCGAATCATGTTTCTCACTCGGTCAAAATGCGGCTGATATCTTGGTTGTTGGGATTGTAGCGTACGTCACTCAACATCACATTTCATGCCTGCACTCTCTGTTCTAGAGCATATAGCTAATAAGTTCATTTTCACAGAAATTACGCCGCTGTCGCTGCAGACACCTTCTCCTCCGAGCTCGGTATTCTCTCGAAGTCCAAACCCCGCCTGATTACCTCGTTGAATCTCCGTGAAGTCCCTCCCGGTACAAATGGCGGTGTTACCGCAACTGGTCTTGGGGCTGGTGTTCTGGGGTCGTTCATTGTTTCCGCGACATCTGCTGCGGTTCTTCCCTTCTGTTCTAGTGCCGGGTTGAAGGATCGGGCTCTGTGGACCATAGCTATGACTCTTTGGGGTACATTGGGCAGTGTTCTTGACAGTGTTCTTGGTGGGCTTTTACAGGCCAGTGTTGTCGATAAGAGGAGCGGGAAGATTGTAGAGGGTAGTGGGGGTAGGAAGGTGAGTTCAAGATTATTTGTTCTTGGCCACCATGTACAAAGCTCTAATCTTGTTTTCTAGGTTCTCATTCACCCTTCCACAGGTAAGCTGGTTGTTCCTGCTGATAGCACTGCCCAAACCACCCGTAGCATACATAATGCTGCATTGCGTGGCATCCAGGCGACACATATCCCCGAGGAAAGTCATGAAAGTCGTCGTCTTGAAACTGGTCATGACTGGCTAGACAACAATGGCGTCAATCTTCTCATGGCTGCAACTATGAGTGTCGGAGCTATGGGTATTGCACAGTGGTTCTGGGGATTAGATGTGTTTGAGTTGCTGGTGTAAATTCTACAGATATTCTTCTGGTAAAATCTCGAATTGATCCAGGTCTCAAACGTGTTTATTTTTCGGGTTTAGATGAAACTTATGAATGTATGTCTTTATCTCTCTTAGTATTTTGAATGCCTCTGCTTGGAGAAACGCAGTCCAACTTTTTGTTTGTCCCAGCTGCTTCCAATTCATCACCTTCCCACCTTTTCTCTTCGACTAATTCAGTATTTGTTTTGTTTTTTCCTTTTCCACTTCTCTCTTCTTTTGATATTCCCTTCGCATCTCAACAACACCGACCTGATCAGGCAAAGCCAACGCGACCTTGACTCAACCACGATTCATCACGTGCCGCCGTTGGCCCTAGTTCGTGAGTCTCTTCTACCTGCCTAGTGTCCCTAGGCTTCATTTCGGACTCGGGGGACTGACCTTAGCATAATTTGGACGAACAGAGCACACCAGCCAAGATGGAAACCGAAGAAGAACGCGCAATGCACGTGCGAGTCACAAAGCCAAGTGTCTCTTTCCTACCGGAGACTGAAACATCCAAGACCGTAACATATGACCTCCATCACAGTGACTTGCTTCCTGTATATGACTACATCTCCCAGGAATATTTGATGACCGGCGTTGCCGTTGCCAACTCGTACTGCACACGCCTTATTCTTCGTTGCCCTGCGGATCCTGGCAAATTTTCAGGTCTTGTCATCATGGAACCATCTCACCTATGGGGTGGAACAACTATCTGGCGTCTCATTAATCGGTGGCTGATGCGCAATAGTGAGTTGTCATACATTCTAGTTTGACATGTTGTCTAGGCTAATAGTCGGAAGGACATGCCTGGCTGGAAGTTGATTCCCAAGCTCCTGCTGCAATTGACCAGATCAAAAAAGTTGATCCCGAACGCTACAGAGACATGCACTTTATCCCTTGCCGGACCCTGGAGGAGTTTTCCAGCAACATACCCTCGTTCTCTAACGCGGATGAGCTTTGGGACAATTACAGGATCTTCAAGGAAAGATGGTGGGCCGCAACTTTGCAGTCTCCGGAGATTCTTGTTGCTGCATCACATGCCTTGAGATCGGGACAGCTGGGTATCAAGGCCGACCGTGTCGTACTGACTGGACTTTCCCAGACTGCAGACTTGATAAGAAAGTTCATCGTCGAGTCTCTTCATCTCCGACTTCCTAACGGATGCGCCCCATTTGAGGGATTCATACCATGCCAATGTGATGGCGGTAACCCACTTCCAGACATGCGTGATGCAAAGATCATTGAGGTTCTAGGTGAATTCGAGCTCATTTACATCAAGACACTCTACGGCGAAAGTGAAAGGCCTCCTCATCGCCGTGCTGACAGCAGGTCATTCCGGCTCTACGAAGTCGCCGGCATGTCTCATCGCGAGACTCGATACCTCTCTATGGCTGATAAGAAGCGTTTGTCGGTCGTTGATCTGGAAGGTGCCCAGTGGACCACGTTTGCCAACTCCTTCCTTTACCATGCTCTCTTCGATGCTATGAACAAATGGATTACGACCGGTGTTGTTCCCCCGCGAGGTACCACAATTGATGTCGACAAATTTGGGGACATCGAGCGAGATGAATATGGAAATGCGCTTGCTGGGGTCAGAACTGTTCATACAGACGTGCCTACTGCCAGAATCATTGATGTTACCCCTCAGCCACATCCGCATTGGCACACTGGTAAGTTGCTCTTGTCCATGAGAATTTCTTCCACGCTTTCTAACCTGGTTATTATTAAAAGGCACCGAGGTCCCTTTCAAAGATGTCAAACTGTGGGCGATCTACAAAACGGTAGCCAACTATCGACGTCAGGCAGGAGAAGCTATCGACCGACAGCTTGCAGCTAGATTTTTGTTGCCTGAAGATGCTGAGGTCCTGCGTCGCGATACCGTTGAGCAAGTCTCCTTTTAAGATTTTCAGTCTACAGAATTGCTTGTTTCTCATCATGGATTTGGGGGGTGTTACTTGGATCTTGGGGCCCTGAGGTTTCTCAGGGACACCTTTGGTGATCTGCAAACCTTATGTACCTCAGGATGCCTTTGGTTATGTTGGACTGGATTTGAGATCAATTCTGCTCTTTCGGGATTTCAATGTCTTTAGCTAGGACCGCTTGGATATCTACTTTCATGTCAATGTAATTAATTCACTTCAACGGTCTCCCAATTGATCACATGGAATCATTCTTCCTTTATGTTTCGATTATATTATTTGTAGAAGCATATTTTAGACCTTGAGATATTGTGTTATATCGTCCTCAATATGCTAGCTTGCTATCCCACATGCAGATTCTACGAGATACAAAGCCTGGAGCATTTGGTCTACAGTGCATTATAAGCAACTATATAGACGGCGGAGTCTTTTCTATCTGGGCTGCCACCGCATTTATGAGGGTTCTCAAGCTCAAGAGTGACATTAGAGATATCTACTTTGCCACTACCACCAGTTTCCTCGCTGACACGCCCTTTCCTGTATTCCTTCGAGTCCCTTCGTTGACACAATCTCCGGGGCAGGAATTACCTGATAATATGGCCAATGGGGGGATTGTTGGACTCCTGCCACCTGAAAATGCGCATCTAATCATACAGGAGCTGATGATGAGATCTTGTTTGAGGACGAAAAGGGATGGAGCTTTGAGAAAAGCCTGGATGGCGTCAAAGAGCACATCTGCTTGTTTCCGTTTGTACCTGAGAACCTGGACGCCTTCACAGATCTCTTGAGCTAGACGATCCAACAGAGAGCAACAAGGAGGAACGAGATAAGGATATGTTGAGTGCTACTTGGCTGGTAGACATACTGAGAGAAAAACGGGAAAGCGGAAAGGCGAGGGAAAGGAAGTATGAACACTGGCTGTGTTTGAAACCTAAAACAGACCTTTCGTTCATTGCCACGTACGGAGGATGGGCACAGTAAGCCTAGTGAGCGGCAATGGAAACCTGGATCGATCGTACAAATATCGATTCCTTCTAATCGTTCGGGGCGAATACTGTTCTAAATAGATGAATATATGCTTATGTATAGAAACATGGAGTGTTGTCAAGTTACTGATAGACCACATTGTATAATTGTTTCCCATTTCTAACTTTTAGAGCTGCTTTTTGTTTAGCTTGCGAACCAAGCTGGTCAGCTTAACTAGCCTCGAACTTTCATGATCAGCTTGTTTGGCCTCTTAACGGGTAAGACTCTTGTTGCAAGAATACCTCGGCTAGACATAAAGGCTAACGTGTGGTAGAAGTAGAAATTAAAGAATTAGATAGCTTCCTGAATTATCAAATTGGATCTATTTATCTATTTCTGTAGGCGGGTTCTAGCCGCAAAGACTCAACAATTCTGTCCCCTTCCAATATCTTTCCAAACGCTCCCACACCAACAAGGGGGGAATGGAAATTAAGACCGGGATGACTGGGTTAAGAGGGGAAAAGGACTACATTCTCTGAAGTTGCCGTAGGAAGTCCAAAACCCTTGGCCCCTGTTGAAAGCATACGCATCAGTTGGAGGTTTGAGGGGCAGGAAACTGATGCAAGGTCGGCGTGAGGCTACTTACAAGCAAGAGGGTCGACAAATGTTCCTTTCACCCCCGAAAAAATGAGGAGGGAGCCGATGGCGCAAGTGGCAGCGTCGAGGACATAAGGAGGTATGTGAGGGGGCCTGAGTCAGGCATGATGTTGAGAGTTCTTCAATGGGAGACGCTAATATCAGAGGTAGATATTGCTGGGGCAAATGTGGTCTTCTGGGCACACAAGAAGCCGGGACTTTCAAGTATAAAGGGAAATGGGGCTAAGTATACCTCTCTGGCGTCCAAAGGCCCACTGCAGGGAGGATCGGGGCTCGGGGAATTTCAAGGTTCAATAGTATGTCTAAGCACATAAAAAGTAGATAGATCGCTGACACACTAGGGATCCAACATTGATTCTCTAAGTGAATTGGCTATTAATCTATGTATCCAAACCCCGTCTGGTACGCTCTTTGACCGCATTCTGTGAGTTGATCTGCAGTTGGCTTCTTGCCCGATATGCTCGCGGTTGATGTGCCCTGCATGATAATTCAAGAGGCATTGGCCGCTGCCTCCTTATCCTCAGCCTCCTTGGTCTCATGAGAAGGAAGTCTCGTGAAGGGGATCAAAAGGGCCAGGACTACAGTGAGTGCGGTACCGGCCAGGGCGAAGGCAAAGACATCCTTGATCCCAACCATATATGCGTCTTGAATCAATGCCAGCTGCTTCCCTTTGTAAACATTTGTAAGTTCTGACACTCCAATGTACAAGATCTCTGCCGAATCGATTTGAGGAGCAGTTCGTGCCAAGTCTGCAGCAGGTAGTTGTCGAAGATAGAATTGGCGGCCGAAACAAAGTAGGCCCCGCTGATAGATTGGGCCACTGGCACAGGAGATTAGTGGAGATCACCCCAATGGGATTTGTTAGTACTCACTGAAAGCTACTCCCATCGTCGCTGCCACGGTTTCCGGCGTCGCGAAACCCTGTAACGCCGTCACCGGAACCTGATTTCCTAGACCGATTCCAAGCCCAAAAGGGATCTGAGCGCCGATATACCATGCCTTCGTGGTGTGGACGTCGATACAGTAGATCAGGACGGCGCCAAGAACGGCTATCAGCCCACTAATAAACTCGATGGGCTGTAGGAAGCGGGTCTTCCCAACGAGTATACCGCTGACTATAGCCCCGCAGGTATAGAAAGCCATGAATGGAAGGCAGTAGACGCCACTCTTGATAGCGGACATGCCATGAACGGCCTGGAAGTAGATAGGGAGATAAAACAGTATCTGAAAGTTGGCTAGGTTGGCACTGGAGAACGTAATCGCAAGTTAGCTCCGTTGACGTTAAAGCAAACAAGTCTTCTGGGCAAAGCTAAGTACGAAATATATTCACATGAACGTGTATAAGAGATTGGACCACGTAATACGGCGCGCCAACATTTTCAAGGGCATGATGGCGTACTCGCCCTGGAACCACTCGACGACCACGAACGCAATCGTCAAGGCAACCCAAAGGGTCAAGGTGGCGATGACGGAGCCGTTACGCCATAGCTTCTCCAGTCCGCCCCATTGCAGCGCCAAAGTGAAGCAGATGACCGAGGTGAACAGCAAACTCCAGCCGGGGAGATCGAGATGCAGTAGAATCTCCTTCCACGTCGCGGGGGCGGGCTTGATGTGTTTCGGCATGCGCAAAAAGAGGAATTGCAGTATGAGAGCTGTGCCACCCACCGGGAGATTTACCCAGAAACACCATCTCCATGTGACCTCAGTCGTGAACACGCCGCCTATCAGGGGGCCAATGGTCGTGGCGATCATAAAGACGCCCATCCATAGGCCGATGAGCAAGGGGCGAGTCTTAGGCTGCGCCGTAAAGTTAATAATCAGGACAGAGCCGCCGAGCGTGCCCGCACATCCCCAGCCCTGCAGAGCTCAGCCCACGATCAACCCAATGCTGCTAGGTGCGGTGGCGGCCGCGATACTCCCAATCAGGTACAACGCAAGTGCTGTCATATACGTCCATTGAGCCGAGAAGTATTTGTACATATTACCCCACGGAGCGGAGGTCGTACCGACGAGAAGGAAACAGGCGCCGCTGTACCATCCAATATCGCCGAGCGCGTGAAAATCACTGGTGATCTTCGGGATAGCCGTGGCAACGATACCCTGTGGGCCGAATTGATCGCGTTACTTATGTACCATGCATGAAAAGGGGAATCGTTCTAGGCGTAGATAATACTGACCAGGTCCAAAGCTGCGATAAGAGTACTGAGACTCAAGGTGGACAGATGATGATCAAGCGGAAGGATGTCGCGTACTCCGGCTCTGATCCCTGGTTCAGGCCCTGGCTCAAGTCACCACTCCCCTCAGTATCATCGCTTCCTCGCTCCTTGTTTCTGAGGCTGGCAGTGTCAGCCGAATGGCCTGCTTCGTTCTTGCTGAACTCTGGATCGGAAGTGGGTGCCGACATATTGCACGTATTGTCTGCGTGATGATAGTAGAGGCAGCTGAAGGTGGCATCCAAAGCGCCCAAAGCGTAAGCGTACAAGGGCCGAGACTGAAGAATCACAATCCGACGACTCGACCAACCCTGGCAAACACGTCTATATCCCGTATTTTGGGGTCATTAAAGCTGCGGGCGAGAGTCATGCTGACGGGATGAGTTCCCAAGCACAATATGTGCCACCGGCAAACTACCGACAGAGCCAACCTCCGGCCGTCATACGAGCAGGGCCGGAGGCAGAGACGCAAACACATCCGACCTCTCTTGCAACATCACTACCTCCAGATTCCTATAACAACCATTACCGTAATAAATTCAACAGCAACAGCACCAACAATAACGTAGCTGCTCTCTTTGCGCCGCTACTCTCGGAAGTTCTCTCAGATGATCTCATGCAGCAGTTTGAATACCCTGGGACGGCAGCTAGAACTGAAGATGATGCATTTCAGGATCTGGACTTGGCTTTCTTGGACAACCTGATGCGAGGCACCGGAGAAGATGGACAAGGCGGCACAGAGTGGGCCGCGGCATGAGAAAACGCAACATTCGTGCCGTCTGCATGTAGACATAACGTATTTGAAGTCTGCAGATATTCCTCCTTCTGCCGGACTAATCCATATGACCACCCCCCGCCCCCCCAACACTTAATAGTTAGAAATCTGGAACATAGTAAGGAGCGTATTGAGAACTTGGAAATCAAAGGCTCTTAAGGCCTATCTCTATTTCATTTCTGCTTTATTTTCAAAGCACCAAAATATTAATTAATATATGAAGTATTTATGCCGCCATTTATTCATATTTGAACCTCTTTTTCCTTTGGAAAAAAAAACAGCAGACAATTAAACCCATTTTTACATACTGCATTGACATTTCATATGACTTGGGGGTCGGACGCCCTAGCGTCCTGGGGTTAAACAGAGGTAGAGCTCGGTGTATGATAAGGTTAGAGCCATATTACTAGACACCAGAGCTAGGGTGCAGTTTGGTATTTTTGGGTTTATGGGGAATTTGCATGAATTAGCCGGTGCTCTTGGCACTCATCGGGGGGTTGCGAGGCCCTGTAAGCTCGGTCTGTTTGCCTAGGGAATCATCTCAAATCAGATGCAACTATTAAGCTTGTGGTAAGACCAATTATCGGCGTCGTGTTGTTGCAAGAGCAAGGTCAACGGCTACGAGCTAGAGGGATGCATCTAACTTTCCCCTTCTGTCAGTGGTGTTTGATAGCGTTGGGCCAATAAGACGGCTTGGGTTGATTGCCTGAATCCCAGATAGCTTGAGACAGTACCTAGGTGGACGCTTGATTTTATCCATTAATCAAAGAACTGTTACACAGTTATATGGTGCGTATCTTATTAGCCCCAGACTCGTATATTATAGAGCTAAATTTATAAAATGCTAATATAGAATCTGCATTGCTTTTCTGATCCTTTAAAAACATACTGGAACATACGGGGCGAAATTTCCGTACGTGGAGCTAGTGCTTGTCCGATGGTAAGAGCATTCTGCACTATTTTAGTGATTGGTAATGATGTGGAATTATGGCTAGCCATCAAATGTACTAAACAGTTCACTATCAAATATGAGCTAGTAGGTCGGCAAGACATTTAATGACTCACATCATTTGGTGGTTAAAACCATGGGCCAGTAGTAGATGTCGGTCATGAGACGGGAAGAGCTCCGCGGTCCTTACAATCGTGCATAGTGGTCAAATGTGTACGGATCTGGTAAAATAGTATCGTCTTCAGGATTAGTAAATTTCCAGACAGGACCGAGCTGTGATTCATATACATGTAGTAATGGCCCTTAGACTTGCCGGCTCGTGGCGTTGTATATAGCGTTTACCCCATATTTCCCACTCTAACTAATGGTGCAAAATCGCACGGTAGATACATGTGTAATCACATTTATACTGAAATGATCCAACAGGAAAGATGTGATGGATTAAAATTGATCCCTCTGGGTAGTACAAGTTTCAGCATGACATAGAGTCACTAATACTCATGTGCAATCACTGCATTGACAGACAAATCTTCGAAGGACACAATTCACACAAAATCCCTTGCAAAGTTATAGAAATAGACCTTCCAACCATGGTGTAAATCTTGACCGAAACAGTCTACAACACCCATGTTAGCAAAAATAATCACTAAATTTCCCACTGCAAGACATAATTACCTAATAAAAAAATGCCACTAAGGCTGCCTATATCCAATCCCTTGCTCCATCGCCCCCGCTGTTTTGCCATATACTGGGGCAGGTTGCTGGACTGGGGTGTACGGTACCCATTGCTGTATAGGGGGTGGTTGGAAAGTATTCTCCAGTTCCCTTTCGTTCTTTTTGCGATCACGACGCATTTTGATGAGAAGAACAACAACAACAGCAATGACAACGAGGATAACGATTGGGATGAGGATCACTTTGAGCAGAAGCTTTACAAGACCCATGATGAGAAAGACTGGGGTATAGGGACCGGCGGCAGAGACCGGTATCACACAAAGGGTGATTGCAATGAGAAGATAATCTAGAAAGGTACCTGGGGAGGGAAAATAATACGCCTTCGATGGGTGAATCGAGGGACTTTTATACCCCGATCTGCTCAATGCCCTGGCTCTGTGTGACTAGGCCATGTCGTATCAATGGGGCATGGCTGCATTCTACATGAACATAGGGCATAGCGCAGCGCCAAATGGTGATATTTGGTTGGCGGCCAGCCTTTGGGTGTACTAAATTTGATATAGACACACAAGGCCGGCGACTACTTTCCCTAATAAAGACATACTTTATTAGCCTAGACCAGTCGCTGCAACTGTGATTGATCGTACATGACTGATGTTTCAGCATTCCTTCGTAAGGCTTGCCTTGTTATGTAGCTCTATAACTGGATCAGTTTGAGCCGGAGTTTATGCTGTGTGACTTGGAACAGCCACACTGTGTACGCAATAATGATTTGACTCTACATATATACAGGAAACAAATCCATAGTCATTACGGGGTAGCTGAAAACAGGATATGATTCTGAGGGGAAATAAAATAAGAATTGAGTGGAATTCTGCTGCCTGATCATCCCCCGGTTAGCCGGCAATAAACTAACGGATGTGACGAATATTGATTTTGTTGCTTATATCTACGTGATGCTTGAGTTAGGGTCGTCTATTGGTTAGAGGATCCTTTGGAGTTTGAGGCAAGTCGACCTGGATCCCCTTCAGTCCCCGTGAGAACATCCGGGTGAAAGCTGAGTTGATTGAATTGAGTAAAAGGATTGGTTTAATCAAAATTGGTGCATTTGTCTCACAGCGCCAAGTCTCAGCCCTACAAGGCGACTCCACTATGGCGATCCTTGCCTTTTGCTTTTAAGATATTTTGCTTTTTGAGTGCTAGAAGCATAGATGTTTTATGTTCGAATGTAATGAATTTAACTAGAAATACTTAATGGTACCCTCCGCCATCCTAAACGAAAGGTGCATCGACTGCGTCTGGGTGCACGTAGAATGCAATTGCGATTATCAGATACCTAGGAGAAATCATTAGTACCGAAGACAATTAGAATACTCATGTGGTCACTCACGTTCCAACCAATAAAAGCCCTTCGTAGTAATTGGATCGACCTCCACGAATCAAGCAGTCCATGACTATGACCGATATGAAGAATACCACAGTTTCGAAGGGACTGTAGCGCAAGGACATGGGTTGCCCAATAACCAAGCCGCACATGACCAGGAACGGACTCACAAACAATGCGATCTGCAAAGTGCTTCCCACAACCACCCCTATTGCGAGGTCCATATTCCCCTTGATCGAAGAATTGACGACAGTATTGAACTCCCCCGCGTTACCGACAATGGGAACCACTATCAAGCCAATAAAAGCCCGGCTGACATGCCACTTATCTACAAATCCATCGACGCTGTCTACCAGACGATCAGAGCAGACGGTGACCCCGAGAGTTGCAAGGATCAAAACGATGCTTGCCGACCAGGGGCCCAGAAATCGCTCTTCTTCTTCCTCTTCTTGCTTATCGTCGACGAATAGCTCCGAGTGACTCTTCAGTTGGAAGTAGAGGTAGACCAGGTAGAATGTGAGTAGGATCACGGAGGCGGCACGGGAGAGACTCAGGACGCTGGTTTCCACATCGTGGGATTTGGACGGTATGGTTGCATAGAGGACGGACGGGATGATCAATGTTGCAGATGAAACTACCATCAAGGATGATAGTATCCCACTAATATCCACGTTGAATTTCACCACATCTTTTCCATAGCCGCCGCAGAACAACGAAACACCGAGGATCTAAATTTCGTATAAGTCGACAAGACCGTCTAGGCAGTGGACATGAAATAAAATCCAAACCTACCAGGAGATTTCCCGACAGAATACTGCCCACCATACTCGACTGCACAATACTGATTTCTCCCTGTCGGACCGCAGTGATCCCCACCTGCGCAATGACCAGTGTCAGTTTCCCACCTTAACAGAGGGTCAAACGTCCAGCCACTCACAATCATTTCAACCGCATTTCCAAATGTCGCATTTATCAGCCCTCCGACGGTTTGCCCGACACTTTTTGCCAGTTCCTCTGTGGCGAATGACAGCAACGCAGCGAGAGGAAGAATCGCCAGGAAGTTGAACACAAAGGAAATCGAGTCGTCCCATCCTTGACTCCCCGCAATTATACCCAGAAACACAAACGGCAGTAGCAAATTGGAGTAGCTGCATCCCATTGTGGTCTTAATCACACGTAAAACAGAGTTGCCTAGGAACATAGCGCGCTTCGAGTCGGGGTAGTTTGTGTCACTCAAGTCCGCAGGTTCCTCTCCATTCCTTTCGCGTTCATCCTCCTCCCTGAGCAATAAATCTTGTTCATGGGCTGTGTTTGATTCGAGGGACCCGGTCATGATTTCAGGGTCAATCTTGGTTGACTTTCGCAGTCGGGGGTGAGCTGTGTTATTCATGTTGTCAAGAGTGAGGAAAGAGAGCAAAAGAACATTGGGGTCGAGGTTGAAAGGGATGATGTATTGCTCCACTACCTTCCGGTCCTAGGCATCTACATATGCATTGGTGTAACTGGTGGATTGCGTCCACGACTAGGATTCTTCTACTTAAAAAGCCGTGCAGCTAAAAATACAGGTATCTGATGGTTAATTACGATTAGTTACGGTTAATTACATATGTGACAGTATCGGATGGAAATATTACTATAATATACCGAGCCTCATTTATTGACCTGCACATGTGTGGACTTTCCACAGACGGGTGAATTCTCTCAGCTTCACCTTTTTCCCCGATGAATGATGTCTCGCAATCGAGGCTCACTTATGCTATATTGCAATTCCGCCATGGCACATATTCAGCACCACCAGGGCCTCTTGTCACTTTTGATACCTCTCATCGGTATCATAGGAGGAGCCCTGAAGTGGAACAGTGCTACCATCTTCGCTTTTAACATTGTCGCTCTGATTCCACTTGGGTCATGGATTACCCGATCAGTCGATGCGCTAACTGTAGGTGGCAGCCGAGCTGTGATTGAAGTGCTGAAATCAACACTGGGAAACTCGGTGGAATTAATGGTGATATCCACGGACTCCATCTTCAATGCAAATATAGACTGACGATAATTTATCCAGATCGGAATCAATTCGATCGCACAAAAACAACCACATATCTCGCAGTCCGTGATACTTGGAAGTGTCCTAAGCAATTTATTACTGGTAAACCCCAATATCAAATCCAACCATTGGTGCTACGAACCTTCTCCTAATACAAACTATACATTCAGGTCCTAGGCAGCACAATCTTCGTCTCAGGCTATGACCAAAAGCGACTCCGGTTCGATCGCACCCTCACAACAGTCCTCTCATCTCTTATGATGGTCGTCTTCATCCTCCTCGCCCTCCCAACCATAATGGACGTCTTCCCGTCCGCCAAAGCCACCCCGGAGGACCAAATCCTCTTAACGCAACGCGTAACAGCCATTATACTCGTCATTCTGCTCCTCATATTCCTCGTCTTCCGTCTCGGCACTCATGCAGCCATGTTCGCCAGCACCCCATTCAGCCAGCGAGACCACGCCCGCAGCGACTATCAATCTCGCCAGAGCCAAATCATCGAGGCTCAGTTCCCACGGCCGTATATTGGCAAGGGTCCAGCAGCTCTAATCTTAGCCGCTGCGTCCGCATCGGCGCTGGCGTGCACTCATTACATAGTCGGTAGTTTGGGCGGAGTTGCTTCGATCACGGGTATGAACCAGTCTTTCCTTGCAGTGACGCTTATTCCTCTGCTTGGGAACTCGGTCAAGTACAGCTCCATTGTGGTGGGGTCCCGATCCCTCAATCAGATTGAGCTGGGGATTAGATCAGTTATCAATACTGTGTTGCGGGTTACGATGCTTCTTGCTCCGCTGCTGGTTCTTGTTGGTTGGGCTTTCGGTCAGCCGCTCATTCTTAGGTTTGACGGGTTTGAGGCTACGACGCTCTTGCTTAGTGTTGTGGTTATGACTTATCTCATCTCTGATGGGCGGAGTAATTACTTCGAGGGGCTGATGTTGATTGGAACGTGAGTCGCTCGCACTGCCTTGTTGGGCTTTTTGTTCGTCGGTGTTAACTTTGCTTTCTCTTAACAGATACATGATCATTACTTTTGCGTTCTTTGTTAGGCCCGAAGTGTCGGCGAATGTGATTTTCCTGGGGACTTAGATTCGTCCAGTCCTGATATATCACATCATTCGTTACTTGAAGTGTCTCCTAAAGATGTGTTGAGGCGGCAAAGGCCTTCAGCTATCTAGTACGCATAGAACGCCACAACTAGACTAGAGTACCTATAATTATGCATCAGTAAAATTATATTTGGGACCCAGTAATGAATACAGAGAAACTTACAGAGCAAGGAGCATCGCGCCATGGATGTAGGCGTACTGTCCATCGCGAAGTAAATGATTGACCACCAGAATAGCCAAAAACATGGCGACAGTCTGGAAGGAGTCAAAGAAAAGTGTCATCGGTTCAGCAATACACCAGCCGATAACCACCAAGAATGGTATGACAAACAGACCAATCTGCAAGAGACTGTCGATGATAACCTGGATTGCAGTGTCTGTGTCTCCTGTACGTGATGCCGCGATGACAGTAACCCCCTCGGTGCTATTGCTAGCGATTGGAATAAAAACAATCGCGATAAATACTTCGGAGACTCCGAGCGTTTGCGTCATGTCACCGACGCTTTCGAGCAGAAGTTCTGTGCAAAAGATTGTTGCGGCCACGGCAGTTATCAATCGGATAATTGAGGAAGCCAGGCTGGCTCTGTTGGCTGCGGATGATGAATCTCCTTCAATTTCTTCGTCACTGGTTTCACTCTCATTTGAAAGGAATAGGTGTTTGTGAGTCCCGAGGTAGAAGTAGAGGTAACCTCCGTAGAGCGCGAGCAACACCAATGACGTTCCTCGGGAGAAAGATAGCACCCTGTCATCAATCTCAGATACTGGGAAAGTCGAGTAGAGAGCCGTTGGGAGAAGCATCGTCACGGATGTGATCATCATCAAGGAGGATAAAGTCTTTGCAAGGGCGCTATTAAACTCTAAAACTTCCTTGTTGTACGAAGCTGTAATGAGGCAGCAGCCGAAGACCTAGATTTGGCTGTCAGTCGGATAATATGGCCACCACTGAGCTTTTCACATTGACAAAGCTTACAAGTAGAATATCCGATAGGATACTGCCAACCATGACAGACTGTGCAAATTGGATCTCCCCATGAACCAGAGCCAGAATGCCCGCCTGGATTGAGTGAGCATTAGGTCATTTTGAAATTCAGGGCAGTAATTCTGACTGACCGTGAGCTCTACGGTATTGCCAAATGTGGCACTGAGTAATGCACCTTGCAACTCTCCGAGATGGTCAGCGAGTTCATCGGATGAGATAGATATCGCCTCAGACAAGAAAATAATGGCGACGATATTCACCACGAGAACTATGATCGGATTCCAATGAAATATCTTTGCAAGGCCAGCCAGAGGTAACAGAACCATCACTGGCCGTCCATAATTGATATTCAGTTCTTTCAGTCCATTTTGCGATGGCATCTTGAAGAACCTCTGGATTTGAGTCCAAGGATCTATATCTGCATCTTGGATTTGGTGACGCTGATGGCACCTGGGCTCTGGTCCACAAGGCTCTGGCTGAGTGCCTCGGCGAGACATGATAAATCTGGAAAAATATGGGCAACCTCTGAAGTGAAGCTCAAAGTGAGATGTGACCGGACCGGGGAAACATGAGTTCGGGATATGTGTTTCAAACTTTACCATGGTACAGATACGGGTACTAGTACCATGGTAACTTTCAGCCTTAATTAAAGTTACAGCCCTATTACTAGCGCCAAACAGACGTGCCGCATCTCCACTGAGTAATTGGGGTTCACGCGGTAGGGCTGAACCAGCTAGCCGTTTGATACCCTGCAATGTCATGTATGCATACGGTATACAGCCTTCAGGCAACAGCATTTCTCATGTTGGTCTCAGCCTTATAGGATATTTTGATGCAAGGTTGAGACTATTAATATTTCGAAAATATCATGTGGAATGACGATCAGCCATGTTACTTTACAATTTACAATTATTACCCGGAGAACACCGTCTCCGTTGACCCCTCTCTCGTCTGTATTGTCATTAATCGGAGCATTCGTGTCCCCCCCCCACACCTTGGCAATGCGTTCACAGCTTACGATTATTATTCTCCTTTGAGTCGCATGCCGGTCGCACACTCCTGTCTTCATCATCAACCCCATCTATTCACACCCTCCAATACGGGTAAGTGATTAAGAACCCGTTCAGAACATCCACAATCAACCTGCTTCGGAGTTGAATGGTCCCTGTTGCCCTGCCTGTGATCTATGGACAAACATCCTCCCTCCCTTGAGTCGCTCCAGAGGGAGGTCAGTGAATTCACAGCCATATACCATGGCCGAGGTTGGACGACGGAAGCAACAGACCTGGAGTCGGCAATGACGACAGCGGGGAATCGGGTACTTGCGGCAGATACGGAGTCTGACGCAATGACAATAATGCTCGAAGAGCTATCCGCATGTGTGAAGGCATGGCTGCAGGCCAAATCATGGATTGTTGCCGAAGATTTAGCCATTCTGGTGCTGGACTTCTGCGAAAACCTGAAGGGAGAGCAAGACTTAATGACTATGACAGCGATGCACAATCTCGCTTCAGCGTATTGGGGCCGAGGGCAGCTAAATCAGGCGGCTGCTTTCGCCGCCCGGGTGACCAAGCTGAGACAAGAGATTCTCGGCGAGGCGCATCCCCAGACATTGACTTCGATGGCGAATCTAGCTTCCACGTTTCGGAGCCAAGGGCTTTGGGGTGATGCTCAAGAGCTTGATTTATGGATTTTCGAGACGAAGAAGAAAACCATCGGTCCCAGCCATTTATCCACCTTGGGCTCAATGTCTAATTTGGCTATATCGTATGCCAATCTCGGTCGGCATAAAGAGGCTGAGTCAATTGCGCACCAACTAGTCGATCTTGGAGAAAGGGAATTATCTCCAGCCGATACCTCGCTGTTAAACTGGAAACTTATTCTGGCATCGACATACCGAGACCAGGGGAGGCTAGACTCCGCTGAAAAGTTAGAACGGGAGGTTGTCGATGTTAGTCGGGAGGAACTTGGGACAAATAATCCCTTCACCTTGACCGCTATGGCCAACCTTGCATCCACATTCCGCGAGCAAGGCCAATGGACGGATGCTGAGCGCCTTGAAATAATAGTCGTGGCTAGCAGCGAGACCGTGCTCGGCGAAACACACCCCCAAACCTTGATGTCCATCAGTAACCTTGCCTCAACATATCGCAATCTGGGTCGGCTCGAAGAAGCCAAAGATCTTGGGGGGAAAGCAACGGCTGTGATGAAAGAGGTCCTCGGGGAGCGTCATCCACACACACTGGTTGCCATGGCGGACCTTGCAGTGACATATCAAATGATGAGGCAATCACCAGATGCCGAGATCCTAGCAGCCCAGTCTGTGCGCCTGATGGAAGAGACCATAGGCAAAGACCACCCGTACACACTTAGCGCAATGGCCAATCTGAGCTTAATATACCAGTCGCAAAGCAAGTGGGAGGTCGCCGGTGGAATGGCCCAAACGTTACATTCTCGCAGGGAAAAGGCATTTGGGACGGACCACCCAGATACGGTGGCGGCGCTGGAGGATTTGAGGAGAGTAGCGTGGGTAGAGGCGGCGGATCAGAATGCTCAGCGTACGTTGAATTAGACTCTTCTGTGGGCTTGTGGAGGGGCGTTGCCGAATGTCCCCGGTGCCGTTAGTCTGTATTTGGCCAAAATTGGCCAGTTTTAGCCGTTTTTAATCAATTTTTATGTGTTCAATGGTCAATGGTTCAGTTTTGTTGGCGCTGCACCCCTTTTGAACCATTTGGGTCGAGGGGGTCAGCCTTGGGCATTAACATGGTATTTTGTCTTGCACAGCCTCCTTGCCAAGACTTGAGACTGTTAACAATCTTCTTGTGTGATCTCCAAGGCTTGATTTGGAGAAGTACAATAGACAGCATAGCCCTGTGAGAAACTCAGTTGCCTGCTCTGGAGTTGACTTTGGTCGTTCGTTAGGCTGCATACTTCATATGGCTAATGAGGATGGGCGCTTGTCAAACACCGGAACAACTAGTCAAGATGAACGTTAATAAGGGAGGACCCATATTATTGATGACCGAGTAAATGATCTCCAAGTGATTTATGCCCTATAATATGCAGGACAGCATCAAGGGTAGGTTGCTGTATGAGCCCAAATACACATACCCCTTACAAAATAAACCTATACTGTTAATAACAGGTTATAATACTCTGATATCCTGTCTCATATTCTCAGAATAAATATCAATATAGTTATGATAGACGAGTTGACCTAACTACATAATGTATGTATTCCACGTCTTATACTCCCGTGATACGCCAAGCTGTATTTTACAATTCCTTCCCCTTTTACGCGTATTTGTATTTCGCCAGAGCACATGTGCACTTCCAGATGTCCTTTCTGATTTTATCCCATCTAATTCTCCCAATGACATTCTCCATGAAATGACGCCAGCTTTAGGGGCCAATGGGTCTCGTATGTCTTTCTGGTCGCGAATAGTAAGTTTATCAATGATGAGGCCTGGAAATTCATCTTACTGACGATACCCAAAAGAAACCGCGATCAAAATATGCCACGGAACAATCCACTCAAGCGACTTTTTCTGATTCGGCTTTTTCCCTTGATCCTGACACATTAGGCGACCTTGTACAATCCAGAGATGTCCAGGAGTTACATGCCCTCGGTGGAGTAAAAGGTTTGGAGGAAGGACTGCGAACTGACGTCCACTCCGGTCTGAGCCTAGACGAGACCTACCTAGGTGCTCCCGTGAATGTCGCTGGGAGTACTACAAGCACTGCGCCGACAGAAAAGGTCGCTATCCCTGAACTTCCTATCTCAACAGAGTTCGATCACCAGGCATTCATCGACAGAAGGAAACTCTACGGGGACAATCGCCTACCCATAAAACAATCACCGAGCTTCCTGTCATTGATGTGGGCTGCCTACAACGACCACGTCCTATTCCTTCTAACTGGGGCTGCTATCATCTCGCTTGCTTTGGGGTTGTACCAGACATTTGGAACTAAACATACCGCTAATAACCCGCCCGTTGAATGGGTGGAGGGCGTTGCCATCCTCGTCGCTATCGTCGTCATTACTCTCGCCGGTGCCGCGAATGACTATCAAAAAGAGTACAAGTTCCGGAAACTCAACAAGAAACAGCAAGATCGCAATGTTTGGGTCCTTCGATCTGCGAGGGTTCATGACATTCCCATCTCTGAGATTGTTGTTGGTGATATTGTCCACATCAGTCCAGGGGATATCGTACCTGCTGATGGGGTGTTGATAAGGGGTCATCAGGTCAAATGCGATGAGTCCTCAGCAACTGGCGAGTCTGATCCGGTCGATAAAAGCGCTATCGATACAAAGCTTCCTAATGGCTCTCATGAGATTGATCCCTTCATTCTCTCTCATACCAAAGTCGTGGAAGGCGTCGGTGCGTACCTCGTCTTGGCTACGGGCACCAAATCAAGCTACGGAAGAATTCTCCTCTCTCTCGACACCGATCCAGGGTTCACCCCGCTTCAAGTACGGCTCAGCAATCTTGCAAAGAACATCGCCCGCTTTGGTGCACTTGCGGCGCTTGTGCTGTTCGTAATTTTGTTCATCAAATTCTGCGTCGGCCTCCGGAATAGCACTGAATCCGCTTCGGAAAAGGGACAATCGTTTTTGAATGTCTTCATTCTGGCATTGACTGTCGTTGTGATCGCAGTCCCCGAAGGACTCCCCTTGGCAGTTACACTTGCGTTGTCATTTGCCACTACTCGAATGATGAGAGATAACAACTTGGTTCGACAGCTCCGAGCGTGTGAAACGATGGGACAAGCCACAGATATCTGTTCAGACAAGACGGGAACGTTGACACAGAATGAGATGGCTGTTGTCTCTGGTTTCTTCGGTGCTACCTCGCAATTTACCGATCGACCTAGCAGTCTAGGCATTTTGGATGAAGAAAATTCCTCATCTGTGGCAAAATGCATGAGTCGACTCTCAAGTCAATCGAGGTCGCTTTTGAGGCAATCTATCGCCGTCAACTCGACCGCAATTGAATGCCAATATGACGGGGGTCGGCAGTTCCTTGGGTCCCAAACAGAGGCCGCCTTATTGAGATTCACCCAGGACTATCTCGAGCTAGATCAGCTTGACTTTGATCGTGCTAGTGCGGAAGTTGTGGATCTTTTGCCTTTTGACGCTTCTCGCAAATACATGATCACGGTTGTCAAACTGGGTAACGGGTTGTATCGAGTATATGTGAAGGGTGCTCCCGAGACTCTCCTTGAGAAATGTGTGGCCACAATTGCACAGCCAATGCAAGGGCTAAGTACTACTCCCATCACACAGGATGGGATTGAACAAATACGCCAAACAAATTCTCGGTACGCCTCACGGTCCTTGCGCACAATTGCTATGTGTTTCCGTGATGTGGAGGAGCTGCCCTTCAGGGGCGAGGAGGAAACTGTCGACTTCGAGGAGCTGATGAAAGAGCTTACCTTTCACGGAATTCTGGGTCTACGAGACCCTCTCCGGGCTGATGCTTGGAGTGCTGTGGAGACCAGCCATAAAGCAGGCCTAACTGTGCGCATGGTTACCGGTGATAACCTTTTAACAGCAAGAGCCATTGCAGAAGAATGCGGGATCATTAACAGTCCGGATGATCTTGTGATGGAAGGCGACAAATTCCGTGCAATGAATGAATCACAGCAAAAGGAGCTAGTTCCACGCCTCAAGGTCCTTGCTCGGTCTCGTCCAGATGATAAGCGGGTTCTGGTCCAGCGTCTGAAGGATCTCGGAAGAGTCGTTGCTGTCACTGGAGACGGTACCAATGATGCCCCTGCCCTTGCAGCTGCTGATATCGGGTTCTCGATGGGAATATCCGGCACTGAAATTGCCCGTGAGGCTTCCTCCATTGTCCTGATGGATGATACATTTTCTTCGATTGTCAAGGCTATCATGTGGGGAAGAGCAGTCAGCGATGCTGTCAAGAAATTTTTGCAGGTAAACTAGAGGCTCTATCAACAAGGAGTATAGATGGCTGGTCAGACTAATATGCTTTTTTCCAGTTTCAAATTACCATCACCTTTACCTCCGTGGGTCTGGCATTTGTCTCTGCGGTAGCCAACTCATCGCAAGAGTCGGTTCTTACGCCAGTGCAGCTCATGTGGGTAAACCTCTTCCAAGACACTATGGCAGCTCTGGCGCTAGCAACCGACCCCCCTCCTCGCCGGATCCTTGACCGCAAACCTGAACTAGCATCTACACCTTTGATTACTCCCACCATGTGGAAGATGATCATTGGCCAATCTGTGTATCAGATGGTAGTAACACTCGTTCTGTACTTTGCGGGCTCTTCTATATTCTCCTACCACAGTTCTCTTCAAACGTCACAATTACAGACTGCTGTTTTCAACACCTATGTCTGGATGCAAATATTCAACATGTACAAGTATGTTGAGGCTGCCTTCCGTTTTCTTTTTTTCTTTTTTTTCTCTCTCTTGCTAACCCCAATACAGCAATCGACAAATTGAGCGGTCATTTAACCTAATCGAAGGGATCCATCATAACTGGCTCTTCATAGCAATCACCTGCGTCATGATGGGAGCTCAAATCCTAATTATGTTTGTCGGCGGGCGGGCATTCTCAATCACGAAGTTGACTGGCGATCAATGGGCATATTCCATCGTTCTTGGTGCAATATCTATTCCCATCGGGTTCCTTCTACAAGCCATCCCCACTGTCATTGTTGAGAAACCAATGGCATGCATGGGGAGGCTATGGGACCGCTCACACCGTCGGTGATATCCTTTTCTTTCCCTCTCTTTCTTTCTTTTTTTTTCTCGATTAATCGCGCGAGCGCCTTTAAATTTTGCATGGCGTGGCTTTTTAATACCTACTCCTTTCTAACATCAATTTTCTCAATATCGTAATCCCTCATCAGGGTTGCCATTAGTTGGAGTCGCTCAAATTGAGCAAGGTTGCCCCTGGGGCATTCATTGTACCCATATTTCCACTACGATAGGTCTGTTAGTGCGTACTGTAATATCAAATTCGCACGTGGATCGGAAATGATTTGGCATAACTCGTCTCCGTTTGAAGCCAGCGGTTCGGGGTGAAGCTGTTGCGATCCTCGCCGAAGATCTGTGGAATGCGATGAAGACCTAAGTGTTGATACTGAGAACCACTTAAAGATAAGTCAACACAAGGTTCGACATCAATCAATCGGTATAGAGCCTTTTGCGGTTAGTCTTACCTCTGTTGCCGGCAATAGTCATCTCACCTCGTGGTACGACTCGGGGAAGGCCGCCAACAACAGCAGAGTGGAACCGATACGTTTCCTTCAGCCATTCAAAAATCTCTCAGCTGAAGACGCCTGGGGCCGATTGGTTAGAGGTGACTACTTACACAAGCCTTAAGAAACGGTAATTTCTGCGCTTCGTTATACTGCACGATGGGCGAGGGTTCACCCCAATCCTAAGCAGAATCAATCTTATCGCGCAATCGCTAGAAATATTTCGGGTGACGTAGTACTTGATAAATAAGCGCTTAAGCTATAGCACCAATAGTATCAGCCCCAGCCCCCGATGTTTGCAACAGTTGTGGCACACATCTCATACTCAGCCATGCGATCAGAATACTTAGCCCGAACGTCCAGCGGGTGCTGCATCATATCATTTCTTGTTCCCGGATTGCTCTTAGGCGCGTCAATAGCAGCAAGACAAGTATCGAAGACATGCGACGAAGGCTGAATACCAATACGGCTTCGGAATGGGTTTCCCAGAGTCAGGTTTTGTAATCAGGTATAGTGGCCCAGGATTGCGATATAGATGGTCAGGGCTTTGGTGTTTGCTACTGCGGCTCCGATATCTGTGTCTGTTTTCACAAAACCGGAGGTCATTAGTGGTCATCCGTTATGGCTCTGATCAGCATCTCGCAGCATTGATTAACGACCCGGAAGTGTTGGCACACATGTAGAAGTGGCTTGTCGGACTCGTCTCATGTACATGTTCAGTACATGGCCGTGTCATATCTCCGGCATCGCCTGCTGTCCTCGTCTGGACCAAATGCCGCAATTTACCCTCTATCCCTATATAGCTTTCGCTTTTTATAACAGTTTTGTATGCCGCGCAGACACTCATCGTTGCTCAGGGGTATGTACCTCTCGCTGCTCCGTGGGGTAGCATAGGGGTGGATGTATGGGCTCGGGTATTCGTTTCGATTTCTGTGCTCACTATCGTCTATAGCTCGCTTGTGCTTTGTGTAGGAGTTTTGTAGGTTCGCTGGTCTGTTTCTTCGTCGGCACTGAACGAAGTGAGGGAGTTAATCTCTATCTCCTTAGTGCGGATGTGTAAGTATCTGCCGCTGTCCCTGTCACTCTGTTAACTCACAGGATATAGGACATCCATTCTCCGAATGGTGTTCATGATATTTGCCCTCCAAGACTCGGATGGGGCAGTTTAATATTTCTCTGTTGTTATGGTGTGGTCTACTATAAAAATTAGTGACGCCATCCTCGCTCTTTCTACCCCGGTGTTGCGAGAATTGTTCGGAGTATTGAGTAAGACTCATTCGACCATGCATCACAGTGACTCAAATAATACAGGGACAATTGGCCATGGGTCGGTTCCTCAGTAAGGAGGCCTATATTTGCGGTAGGACCCAGGACGTAGATGACGTTCATGAGACGACATTCGATATGGACTCGGAGACAAAGTGGAGCGATGAAACGCTTCGGGGTCTCAATTCTTCAAGAATAAGGAGCTTCGATTTGAGGTTACGGTTCGTGTCGATGTTGTGAGACCCCCGTCCCGGTAGACGAGAGTGTGGTGAAGTATCTTTGCTCTGTGTCTATCGAGTTAATGGTTAATCAAAAAATCAATGCTTTGATGTTCTGGAACTCATGAGAAGCGAAGGCTTGCCATTCTTTCCGCCGTTCTATCATGATCTAGCCAATGAGTGATCGTTCGGTTTACCCGCTTCTTCTGTTGAGGTTGGCCAAAAGATTTTGTTTAGGCCACTTGGGAATGCCATCTAAACGCCCTGTCCTGTTTCTCTTGGGGGGATTCCAAGAATCCACCGTGGCGAAAGGCATTGCTGAGGTCGCCCAGCTGTGTGATGGAACCATTTGGAGAACCAGGTCGAAGCACACTACCACATCATACGAGCTACGGAGAGCAACTTCCAAAAGAACAAGTTCTGACTAGACAGAAATGAGATACCGTTCACCTGAAAAGGCTCATCGGGGATAGATCAATGCCACTGATTCGTTCTTTTGACGAGCTTAGTGGTCATGCGAGCTACTGGCTAAATTGCCAAGATCTTAGTATTGAACAGGTGTGAACGCCTCTAACGAGTGGGGCGAAAGCATGCGAGAAATTCCCGCATGAGATATCTTATATTATTAATATCATTGCAAGTTTCAGTTGCGCCGAATTCGTGCTGGGTAGTACTATCCATGTACATTGCACGTGGGCAAATTGTTCTAACTCAGTCATGACTTTGGCTTTCTTGGGCAAAAACCTTAGAACTGATGAACCAAACTGAGAGATACTTCTCTAATCTTTTTTCCCCTTTTCGTCGCCACCAATTGCTGTCAACCTTGGAAAAGAACAAATTCCTCTTACATTGAGGGCACGTGCGCTCGCCTAGGTGTGCCCGATCCACCGTCTTGGCAAGAGTGAAACCTAGCAAAGGTAAGAGAAAGTCAAGAGATGTTTTCTAGAATAGGAACGAGCCATGCGAGAGACCTTCAGACACATTCCGGGGATGGGCCTCTTATACACCCACGTGTAGGTTTACTGTGCTCTCATAGGTAGAGGTGGGCCGTGCGCCCCCACCCCCGCCAAGAGCCGCAACCGTCCAATGGCTGTGTCACTGTAGCCAATCAGATGTCATTTCCACTACATTCCACTGGATCTATACCTAATCTAGATGCGTTCCATGGTATATCTCAATGTAAAAAAGTTCCGCCCAGGTAATTGCCAAGGCCTTGTCCAATTTGCTTGAGACCTCAAGCTTGCGGAAACATGCTATTTTCCCTCTTGGCCAGGCCTTGTTACATTTACTTTTTGCCAAGTCCACGAACGATGATTCATGGGCTACCATTGCGAGTAGGACCAGCACGTGTGGTCAGAATTTCCCAATCGGGAAGTCCTCCTGGGCGTAGAACGCTTGCCACAGGACCTGTCGTACATAGAGAGCGGAGGAGCCCGTATCAACCTTTAGATCCATGCATACATAAAAGGCACTCTTCTCGCCTTAGTCCTTGTTTCTCTTCTTCATCCGTGCAACCGAAAGTTCAGACCTAAGCTTTCACTTGACTTGGTATCACTTGACTTGATACAAGCCATCAAGATGTATCTCCACCAATACGATTACATCTTTGCCATCGGCACGTTGTTTGCTATGCTTGATGCATTCAACAACGGTGCAAGTGAGTAGCAACATAGCCTATATTCTACTTGTGAACTTCAACTAACCTTTGGATGTTCATAGACGATGTTGCCAATTCTTGGGCTACCAGTGTCTCCTCCCGTTCTATCTCCTACCGCCAGGCTATGGTCCTCGGCACCATTTTCGAGTTCGTCGGAGCCGTCGCTGTCGGTGCTCGCACCGCTGATACCATCAAGAACGGCATCATCCCCAACTCATCCTTCCAAGGCAATGCCGGCGTTCAAATGCTTGCCTTCACATGTGCCCTTGCCGCTGCATCCTCATGGGTGATGTGGTGTACCAAACACTCCGCCCACGTCTCCTCCACCTACTCTCTCATCTCTGCTGTCGCCGGTGTCGGTGTTGCAACTGTTGGTGCTTCCCAGGTTCAGTGGGGCTGGAATAATGGCAAGGGTCTTGGTGCCATCTTCGCTGGTCTCGGCATGGCTCCCGTCATTTCCGGTTGCTTTGGTGCTATTATCTTCCTGCTGATCAAGTACATCGTTCACGTGCGGAGAAACCCTATCTCCTGGGCCGTCTGGAGTTCTCCTTTCTTCTTCTTGGTCGCTTCCACCATTTGTACGCTCTCCATTGTGTACAAGGGTTCCCCCAACCTGGGTCTGAACAAGAAGCCCGGCTGGTACGTTGCTGCTGTCACTATGGGCACTGGTGGCGGTGTCTGCCTTTTGTCTGCTATCTTCTTCGTTCCTTTCCTCCACGCCCGCGTTATCAAGAAGGACCCCAGTGTGAAATGGTGGATGGTCATCCAAGGCCCTCTTCTCTTCAATCGCCCCGTTCCTACCGATTCTGAGGTTGCCAAGGTCCCTAACTACGCTGTGGTTCAAGATGAACCCGAGTACCATGAGCCTCACCTGTCTGTCGATGAGAAGGAGCCCAAGGCCGGCGTTGCCTCCATCCCAGGCTCTACAGAGGAGCAATCCGTTGACAGGCTCGAGGCCAATCAGCTCACCTACCGTGAAGTCATGGCCCAGTCCGAGGACCGTCACAACGCCAAACTCCTTGAAAGCCGTGGACCTATTGGTTGGGCTATGCGCCTTCTCCGCGACAACCCCATGGGTGCCGGTGAGATCTACGAATTCCGCAACATGAAGCGCATGGCCAAGCGCCTCCCGGCCATCATCACTGTCGGTCTTCTGTACGGTTTCCACTACGATATCCACGCTGCCCAGAGTGGTAACGAGGGTACTCCCGAGGGTGAGCGCATGAAGCGTGTCTATGCCAACGCCGAGAAGTACCCCAACGAGGTCGAGCACACCTACTCTTTCATTCAGGTTATCACTGCTTGCACTGCTTCCTTCGCTCACGGTGCCAACGATATCGGTAACTCTGTCGGCCCCTGGGCTGCCATCTACTCTGCCTGGTCCACCGGTACCCCCGCTGCATCCAAGTCCCCCGTGCCCATCTGGCAGCTTGCTGTCCTGGCCATTTGCATTTCCATCGGTCTTTGCACTTACGGATACAACATCATGAAGGGTAAGCACTCCACTCCTCTTTCCTTTTGCCGGTTTTCATTTTTACTAACTATACACTTAGTCATGGGTAACAAGATCACCTACCACTCCCCATCCCGCGGTTCCTCCATGGAGATGGGTGCCGCCATCACAGTTCTGGTCTTCTCGCAGTTCTCCCTGCCCGTTTCCACCTCCATGTGCATCACTGGCGCTACCGTCGGTGTTGGACTGTGCAACGGAACTTACAAGGCTGTCAACTGGCAGCGTGTCGGCCTTTTGTTGTTTGCTTGGATCATGACCATTCCCATCGCTGGTACCATTGGTGGATGCCTGATGGGTTTGGTCCTGAACGCCCCCCATTTCCTCACCGTTTAGAGATTTGGCATTTTTGATTTCATCTTGAAAGTTTTTGACAGCGTACATATTTTACATAATTCTTCTTTTGAAATACCACTTAGAGTTCGGACAGTCAATCAAAATCATTCAAACAAAAAGTCTTATGAGTCAGTAGTGGCATTGTCATACTACGTTGGAAATAGAAGACATTCAATTCAGACCAATTGATTGACAACCTCCAATTCTTCACCATTAAGATTAAAAACAAATGAAAATCAAGTGCGTCTAACCAAAATGGATTTAGGGGGCAAAAATGCAAACACCAAAAAATAGTTTCCCTGGGAATCGAACCCAGAACCTTTCCGGAACATATGCTAATCGCATTTGTTAACGGAAAATCATAACCGCTAGACCAGGAAACTGCTCGGCCACTTGGGCCAATTGATGGAAGACACCGTCGGCTTTGGCTTTATGATTGAATTCAATCACCGTATACCATCATCTTTTGAGGGCTTCGAACAATAACAGTCTCTAGAGATGAATTTAATTGCCGAACCTGATTATTATTATATCAGATTTAGCTACTTTAACTACTTTATTCAATGCCATGTTATCAAATCCAGGATGGAAAAAAGAAGAAAATATTCGAATAAAATACTTCATGCATATATTCCTGGCAACATATTTTGGTCTGTGGTCTGTGGTTTGTGGTCTGCAATTCTCAATCAACTCCCAACTTACATCTCCTCAGCAACTTTGACCAATTCATATCTCTCTCTCCGCAAGTAATCATAGGTCACAATCTTCTGACGAGCGTCCTGTTCGATGGATTTCCATTCCTCCGGAGAAATAGTGATTTCACCAACTTGTTTCGGAAAAATGGTCATTGGGCGGCAGCGTTTTGTCAGGCCAACCTTGAAAAATCCGAGCCGGAACTCGGTCTGCTTTGTACGTTCGTGGGGGACTCCAAACATAAATGGTTCTTTCGGACGCTCGTAGGGCTCTGCGTTGACTACTGATGTGAGGCCCATCTGAAAACATTCCTGCCTGAACCGGGCTCGGGCCGATCCTGGCTTGGGCATTTCGTACGCGGATTGATCAGTCGGAAAGTTGGCCGGAGCCGTGGCTGTGTCAGTGGAGGGCTCTGGTTGTTGAGCTTTATCAGGGACACCTGGAGAGTTTGCTGTGTTCTCATCTGTGTTCTCATCTGTGGTGTCATTTGTACCGTCTGCAGGGCCTCCGCTGGGGTCGTCATCAGATTCGTCCTCAGTGTCGGTATCAGTGTTATCTCCAGAATCGCTCCAAGTCTCGTACCCAAGCTCTTCTGCAAGGACCTTTCCAAGAACCTCATTTTTAGAGCTTGTCTCGGTATCTATCCCTTGCTGCAAATGCTTCTCGTCCACCTTTCGTAGAGTCGGCACCCTACACTGGGGCTTTCTGATTTTACCAAGTGGGCGTTGCTTGACCAAAGGTAGTTGTAGTTTGACGAGAGCCCCCTTCCAAGTCTTCAATGGTCGCTTGCGTTTGTCTTCGGTCGAGACAGAGTTGTTTGCAGTCTTGTCAAATTTCGCGTGCGCCGCGATAGCCTCCTCATGAGCATATAGTCTCGCAGCCCGAGTATGCTCGCTAATTCCATGCCTGGTGACATCCAAATAAAAGCTCAGGTCCTGACATTCAACACCCTCCTTCGGATCCATGGCGCAAGGGTTCGCTTTCACAAAGTGCTCATGAGCTTTGCGCATGTTTCCGCGCAGAAACTCAACTCGACCCATCCAGAACTCACACTTAGCAACGAGGAGCGGATTTTTGGATTCATTTGCAGATTCCCTGGCGAGCTTGATCATAACCTCGGCCCTGGAGGGATTTTCGTTGGCGATGAGGCTCGAAGCCGGTAAAAGATAAGAGCCAACTTCGACCCGATAGTACATATGGATAATATCTCTGTCAGCCAATTCGACAGGCATGCTGTTGACAATACCTGCAAGAGCTTCGAGCTTTTCTTCTCGCAAAGCACGGGCTTCCAGTATGAGTCCTTGCTCTTCCCGCGAAGAAAGAGGAAGTGTGGTCGGCCAGGAGCTCCCATCATTGCTCGCGTGGGGCACGTTGTCGGGCATGATCGAAACACTGTTTTCCCTAGCAGGGTCTTGAGGGTTGATCTTGACGAATTTGTGAAGTAGATGTGATGGGACTACTGGTAGTCTTGCAATGATCCAAGAATTTCTGTCGGATAAAAGAGATAAAAGAGAATATTGGTATGTCGGGCGTTGGCGGAGGAAGATAGAAACCAAGCGAGAAACAGTGACCCTTATGTACCTCACAAGACGCGTCGACAAGAAAGACAACAAACGTGTTGAAAAGAGTAAAGAGTTTGATCAAGACAATTCGAGACAAAGACACTTGTCTGAAAAGGGATATCGGGACTTGAGTCGTTCTTTCCTTTGTTTCTCCTAATCCCATTGTTAGCCTCGCTGAGACTGAAACGACGCATTCTACATATGTACCATCCTATTCTCTTTGTGTATGTTTTGACTTACTCAATACAAGTTGAGCAAGAAACTGGTGGAATGAGCTTCATGACTGTGTAGGTAGTACTGAGTAACTATTCTCCACCTAACTCTAGAGGTGTTTTGGCTCCGTCAAAATACAAATACGTTGTGCTTTGAGTAAATAAAACCGTGGCAGTTATGCGGATTATGTATGGAAATAGTCTAGATAAAAGTTCTTCTGTTACAATTTACTCGAAATTGAAATTAACTGGATATTTGGTTTATGGGATTAGTGACAGCGTAAAGCGCCTAAGTACCCCGAGCATCATGCTCTCCTCACGTACCACCCCAAGCAACCAAACTCTCGCTATTCCCCCTTTCGAACCTAATTCTCAATTTATATCTGACATTTCTGGGACCTTTTTGCCCGGACTACTGTGTGGCTGCGGTCGAACTAGACACGAGCCGACTGCTTATCGTGAGAGTCATATGTATCAAGGAACAAAACAGAGGAAATAGTGAATTGGCGATATCAAGCCGATAGATAATCCTTTAGAAATTATCTATATTTTTAAGATCGCTATCTTCCCAGTCTAATAATGCGTGGGTGGACGCTGCCGGAGAGTGATCAAACTCAGCGGCCTCTACGCAAGTAAACCCAATGACAGCCTCCCTTTGGACATCACGGGCCATTTCGCTATAGCCTGGTATATGCAGTGCTCGAGTGAGCGATGTGTAAGCCTCTGGGAACCTTCCAAGTTTCATGAGGTTCATTCCTTTGATAAAATGAGTAATGCCGGCGATAATGCTTGATTCTGGGTTGCTTAAGACGGTATAGCTCGTGTTAATTTGCATAACCTTTTCTAAGCTCGCCATGGAGTCTTCATATTGGCAAAGATAGTGTTGAACGGCAGCGATAAAAAGTCGACATCGCATCTCATCCAGTTCGCACAGAAAGGGGTTTTGGCTAATGACCTGCGAGGCAAGCTCCATTGCAAGGTCTGGCTCGTCAAGTTGCCACCGCTCTTCCGCGTCTACCAGTAATGAGCCACTGCATGCACAGAGCCAGATATCATCGATAGAGGTTGACGTTATTTCTGTTGGTGAAATTGTTCTAGGAATGTCAGGTAGGGAGTGGGAATCAGATGGAAAAGGGGGAATAGCGAGACTGGGGTTACTTGAGGTAGTGTGTGCGAGCATAAAATCGTGTTCTGCGAGCCGCGTCTGAAGGTCGTACACTGCATTCATGGCTCGAGATAGTTCTTGCTCTAGCTCGGTAAGTTTGGTGGATGCGTCCTCAGAGGTTGGCCGTCGGGACTTAATACCCCTGCGCAGACGTCGAAAAATGTTGGCCATTTTGGAATGGGAATATCTTGTGATGTTCTCAAGCTGATGAATAGTTCGTTTGAGATGATTTTTTTAGGGTTTATATACTCGTCCGTCGAGCAGTTGCCGGGGGTGGCTTCTGAAAGAGGATGCCCCATACTGATGAAAGAGATCATTGTTTCTTTGAAAACAATTTCATTGTACTAATTGAGTAAAAAAATGGAAGAAAAAAAAATATTATTTGAAACCTTTTGTACTAAACATAGGTTGGCAACCCCTGTCTTGGGGCTTCTAACAATATGCAAATCAAGCAAAGCTTGCAAACACACAAACGTAACAAACACAAACAGAGCAAACTTTACAAATGCAGCAAACTGCTACATATGACATCACCTACTCCTGTGGACCCACATCTACTCGGTGCCTACAGCACCTCGAGCAGCAAGATGCAACCATACAAAGTGAAAGAGTAAGACCAGGGGTATGCCACTAAATTAATTAGGGTATATCCGGGTACATCCACCACTGATTGGGAAATGTGGTCGGTAGAGATGCCCAAAGTAATTTAGCTGCAGAGTGTGCAGTAGAACAGTGTATAGTATTACTCCGACTCCGATGTAAAAAGCGCATTACGGTGAGTCAATTGTTTGTCTAGTCTGCTCTGTCCAATCTGATACTACAGATCTTCCCACGGTAATCCACTTACAGAATCAGCCCATGAATCTAGACTTGCGGGGGTGCTGCAAACACATTTACAAAGCCGGGTTGAAGGTTGGAATCTCACATTTATAAAGTCTGCGTAGAATCCCCAACGGCTCTATGTAGTTATTTCCCCCCCCCCCCATTTATTTCCCTACTGTCTTATAGACCAAGTCGTCATATATCCTCCAATCCGTGGACCTCCCCCGTAATAATTTGTCATAGAGATTTAATTTAGCAGGTACGCTGACTTGACCTCTTCCACTTCCAAGTTTGCTTTCACTTGACAAATGCCCGAGATCAATCCTTTACTTTTCTTTTTTTTTGTTGACTGCTTTCACTTGTGAATTGACATTGATGTTTTTGCAGTCATGTCTCCTACCTTGCTCAGAAACGTCGACACGGTTGAAATCGTGGATATCCACCAGGATGATATGGAATTCTCCTTGGTCGATGATATCTACAAGAATCTAGACCCACCAGCAGGCGGACAGCGCACATTCCCAACCCTTCTACTCTACGACACCAAAGGATTGAAGCTTTTCGAGGAGATCACTTACTTAGATGAATATTATCTTACCAACACGGAGATCGAGATCTTGACAAAACAAGCGAAGAGGATAGTCGCACGCATTCCAGAAAATGCGCAGTTGGTGGAGCTCGGCAGTGGGTCTGTTACCCGTACACCCTGCATCTGTCGCATCGCGCACTTGGATGATTGTGCCCAAAATCCTGACAATTTTTCTTTCTAGAAACCTGCGCAAGATCGAAATTCTACTTCGCGAATGTGAACGGACTGAAAAGAAAGTGGATTACTATGCTTTGGACCTTTCATTGGTGGAGTTGCAACGAACATTCTCTGAAATCTCGCCCGAAAGCTTCGCCCATGTAGGATTCCATGGTCTCCACGGAACGTACGATGATGCTGTCGGCTGGCTGAAAAGCCCGGAAAACCGGAAGCGACCGACCGTGGTCTTGTCGATGGGATCATCCATGGGCAATTTTAGTCCTCCGGGTGCTGCGGAATTTCTTGGTGGTTTTTCCAAGCTATTGGGCCCGTCCGATTTCATGCTTATCGGATTGGATGCATGCAAGAACCCCGAAAAGGTGTTTAAGGCATATAACGATACCAAGGGAATTACTCGCCAATTCTATGAGAATGGCCTCTTGCATGCCAATAGGGTTCTTGGCTTCGAGGCCTTCAAGGCGGACGAATGGGAGATCTTGACCGAGTACGATACCACTGAGGGACGGCATCAAGCCTTTTATGTTCCAAGAGTTGATGTGGTCATCAATGGGATCAATATTCCCAAAGGAGAGAAGCTCATCTTTGAAGAGGCATGGAAGTACGGTCGCAGCGAACGAGATGAGCTCTGGCGCAATGCAAACCTCATTTCCCAGGTCGAATTTGGAAATTTGACCGATGATTATCGTGAGCCTTGATCTTTTGATCGAATCATCATGGCGGACTTGCTGACGCGCGTTTAAACAGACCTTCATCTGCTATCACCCGCTGCGCTTGATGTGTCTATGAACCCTTCAAAGTATGCAGCCCAACCGATCCCTAGTATCGACAACTTTCAGTCTCTATGGACTGCATGGGATCTCGCAACCAGAACCATGGTCCCTCGCGAGGAGCTTTTTTCCAAGCCGATCAAACTCCGAAATGAGCTGATCTTTTATTTTGGCCACATTCCGACATTTTTCGGTGTGTCTCTGGTGTTCAACGTTGCTTATCATGTTCACTGCTAATAATGCTGGAACTCAGATATTCATCTGACGCGGGCTTTACAGGAGGAACTTACTGATCCTAGCCATTATAAACTAATTTTTGAGCGCGGAATTGATCCAGACGTCGAAGACCCACGGCAATGCCACAGCCACAGCGAAATACCCGATGAGTGGCCGCCACTGGATGAAATTCTGGACTACCAAGACAGAGTGCGAAACCGTGCGCTCTCAATCCTACAAGAGGGATATGCGTCGCAAGACCGCACTCTTGGAGAGGCTCTTTGGCTTGGCTACGAGCACGAAGCAATGCATCTCGAGACTTTCCTCTACATGCTGCTCCAGAGTGATAAAACTCTTCCTCCCACAGGTGTTGATCGCCCGAATTTTGAGCAAATCAGTCGCCAAGCGAAGAGAGACGAAAAGCCGAACAAGTGGTTCAGAATTCCACAGCAGACTATCGAAATTGGATTGGACGACTCCGACGAAGAAGTTATGCCAAATAACTCTTTCGGATGGGACAACGAGAAGCCCCAAAGAAAAGCTACTGTGCATGCCTTCGAAGCCCAAGCGAGACCCATCACCAATGGTGAATATGCCAAGTACATACAGGATAAGGGTATTCAAACATATCCTGCGTCTTGGGTGTTTAACCCAGGCCAAGACAATCTCGTTTCCAAGGGCATCAGTTCCTCAGGTGCCCAAGCCGGTTCGAGCTCCAGTCCTGCAGGATTTTCTCTTGAGGATGTCACGGTTCGAACTGTGTTCGGACTTGTGGCTCTTGAAGTCGCACAAGATTGGCCATTGGTTGCTTCCTATGATGAAGTGGCGAGCTATGCAAAGCACATGAAATGCAGGATCCCCACGTTTGAAGAGACCAGGAGCATATATCACCACTCTGATCAACTCAAGAGTGATCGAGTCACGAATGGCCAGAGGTATGAAAATAATTCTGGTTATGATACAGCAGAAGCTAACTTATAAAATAGGAATGGAGTCAATGGGTTCAGCAAGCCCCACTCTACTAGTCAGACTGTTTTCCGTGATCTCACTGGTTGCAATGTTGGCTTTAATAACTGGCACCCAGTTCCCGTCACCCCAAATGGGGACCAGTTAGCTGGTCAGGGTGAAATGGGAGGTGTCTGGGAATGGACTAGCACGCCCTTGATGCCGCACGATGGCTTCAAACCAATGGACATCTACCCTGGATACACATGTGAGTGATACCTTGCGCATCAAAACCGAACCTAAACTCATTGGCCTCAACAGCGGACTTCTTTGATGGGAAACACAATATCGTTCTCGGGGGCTCCTGGGCTACCCTGCCTCGCATTGCTGGCCGGAGTACTTTGTAAGTATAGACCCTATGATATTCAGCAAACTGGACTAACACATTTTAGTGTCAATTGGTACCAGCATAACTACCGCTATACATGGGCGGGTGCACGTCTAGTTAGAGATATATAGATAGAGCTTGAGCAATGCTAATAAGCCCTGGAGATGAGCTCCTGGAATGCTCCATGATGATGACCTCATTCTCACGATAAGAGATAAACCGCGGGGAGCCATAACGTGACTGCCCCTCATCCCTTCCCCAACATCTTCTCCAATTCCTTGTCTTCTCTTCATTTTAGTTGAATCATAAATTAAATAATTTGCATGATGTCGCTGGAAACAATTTCAACTATTTCCCCCGCCACCAATGAGCCTGTTGTCACCCGCACCGGTGTCTCATCGGAGGAGTTGAAACAGATCCCTGTGGCCGCCCAAACGGCTTTCCGGTCATTCTCGCAGTCCACAACGTTAGAACAAAGGCAGCAAATCGTGGAACGTGCTCTTGACATCTTGGAGAAAAAACAGGATGAACTAGCACGTGAAATTACTGAGCAGATGGGCCGGCCCATCGCCTATACCGGTGTTGAAGTTGCGACCGCCATCAAGCGTAGTCGTTACTTGGTTCGTATTAGCTCCTCCGTGCTAGGCGAGAAAGGAACTGTGCCTGGAGAGGAAGAGAATGGATTCAGGCGGTATATCAAGCGTTCACCTGTCGGTGTAGCGCTGATTATTTTCCCGTGGAACGTGAGTTTAATTCGTGAAGATATTGGTATATCTGTAGATGCTGATAAATCAATATATAGTACCCCTACCTTACACTTGTCAACAGCCTAGTTCCCGCCATCCTCGCTGGAAACGCTGTTATTCTCAAGCCCTCCCCTCAGACTCCAACAATCGTTGAACAATTTGCCTCTGCTTTTGCCGCAGCTGGTCTTCCCCAAAATGTGCTTCAATTCTTCCACTGCGGATCTTTCACATTTATCGAGACCTTGGTGCGGTCTCCACTGGTGAACCATATCTGTTTCACTGGTTCCGAAGCTGGTGGCCTGGCAGTGCAAAAGGCAGCTTCCGATCGGATTGTGAATGTTGGTCTAGAACTTGGTGGCAAGGACCCGGCCTACGTCAGAGATGATGTAGATCTAGCCTGGGCTGCTGAGGAAGTTGTGGATGGCGCTATTTTCAATAGCGGACAGAGCTGCTGCGCAATCGAGCGTGTCTATGTTCACGAGAAGGTCTACGATGGTTTCATTGCTGAGGTGAAGAAGGTCCTGAGCAACTACCGTGTGGGCGAGCCTTCCGATCCCAAGACCCAAATTGGACCTGTCGTTTCTAAGCGTGCGAAGGAGGCCATTCTCGAACACATCGAGGACGCCGTGCAGAAGGGTGCGAAGAACGAAACTCCTGCCAATGAGACCTTTGAGAACTTCCCTCCGAATGGAAATTATGTCAAGCCTACACTACTGACCGGCGCTAATCATGACATGGCTGTGATGAAGGATGAAACATTTGGGCCTATTATTCCTGTAATGAAAGTATCTGGTGACGACGAGGCTGTTCGTTTGATGAACGACAGTGACTTCGGTCTTACTGCCAGTGTTTGGAGCAAGGACGTTGCAGCGGCCGAGAAGCTGGTTGAACGTGTTGAGGCCGGCACTGTCTTCGTCAACCGATCTGACTACCCTAGCCCCGTAAGTTCGGCTCTTCCCATCTACTATTGTCACCGTCCGCTAACCGATGTACATTACAGGATCTCGCCTGGACAGGATGGAAGAACTCTGGCCGTGGTGTTACCCTAAGTCGATTCGGTTTTGAGCAGTTTGTCAAACTGAAAAGCCACCACATCAAGGATTATCCCAAATGAACATGTGCATATGAGATAAGTTCATTTTTTTCGTCAGGAGAATACGATGTATTACATGGATTACTACGAAATCATGACAATGACTACATATACTATCTTGTCGACGAATGCACATTTATTTCTCCTGCTACGCCTAAGTGAGGATATATTTTTAACACAACCATAAGAGCCTTGCGTGATTTAACCTAGATAGGCGATATCTACGGACAGCCAAGACTCTGCAGCTCCACTCGGGCTTGATTTAGGAAGTAGTTCGGGGGAGCTTAGGTCCTATTGGCATAAGGCACAACGCTTAACGATCTCCCTTTTTGCAGTAAGATGTTTAAGGCTTCACTATCTATCTATATGGTAACATTTCAAACTTGCTAGTTAATGATACCATTTCATACCTTGTCATTCCGAGCTCGGGCTCGATGCTCTATGTTTGTAACAAACTAGCAGGATTTGCCTTTTGTCGGCTATTTTAGCCTGTTTCAGCTTTGGTCCTTAAATGATAGGAGTATTTTTAGCTTGCCAACTAACTGCCGAGGTTATAGTTGACTCACTTCCCACCCCTGTTCTCGATTGACCTTGTAACAAGCTCGAACAGATCTCAAGGTGCTCCTCATGATGTCAGTCCTATTGTCAGATGACAACCCTTTCCAGACCTTAATTGCGGAGGCAAACAACAATTCGGTAAGAGAATGCGAGAATTATGAGATAATATCAGATGCTGAAACCTTTTTGGTCTAATAATAGGCAACACTACAATCTCGATACGAGAACCACCGAGTGGCTCGCAATAGCCAGCAAAGTGCAAAGATCCTAGCCGACAGCTTTCCTGGCTGGTCTCTTGACGAGATTCTGAAGCGACTTGATGGCCCTGGAAAGGAAGACGGATTTGTCGATCCTCGAAACTGTCTTGTCATCTGGGCTAGACCTTCGCCTCAAGTTCGCGACCTGATATGCTTCATTCAAAATGAACTGAAGAGCATTTCTCCTTGTAAGTTCACCAATATACAATTCTCTGACTAGGTATTTCCCCTTTAGCCATTTATTTCGCTAACATGGGTGACTATAGCACTCTGGCTCATGCCTCCTGAGAACCTTCACATAACTGTCTTAGAAGTCGCTCATTCTCTGACGGAAGAGCAAATTGAAGGACTTGTCCAGACCCTCCTGTCATCCAAAGATGTCACATCTGCTGATATTGCAGCATACCCATGCAGCCACTCTACACGTCTTATCAAGCCTATGGTAAGCTTTGATTCCACCGCACTGGCGCTCAGCTTTGTTCCGGCTGCTGGTGAGTGCCTAGAAGTGGAATCTAATAGCGATAACGAGCACTACACATACCATCATCTTCGCCGAGATGTCTTTGACATGGTCCGACAAACCAAGGTCCCTGTTGCTTCGCGTTATATCGTTCCCTCGGCACATCTCACTATCGCAAGGTTCATATCCCAGGACGGGTTTGTGGTCAAGGGATCAGATGGCACAGAAACGGTCGATCATTTGCGTGTTAAGCTGTTGGTTGATAAAATTGGTGAGATTAACCAGAAGTTGGAAAATGAGTATTGGCCCAAAGAAGGTGCCACCAGGGAGGGTGGTGAATGGATTGTTGGGCAAGAGGGTCTAGTCATTCGGAGAGGTCGCCTCTGGTATGGAGGTGGCGAGTATGTGCCGCTTGGCTAGATATTTGCTTGGTCATAACAAGTTCTATCCTCCTATCTAGAAGGGTGTGCAGTTAGTCCTTCTCGTGTTCTTTAACTAGACCTTCTTCAACGAGTCGTTCCCATGCTTACCCGGTTATCCGTCGAGTGTATAAATTATTGCCTAGTACATAAATAGATATACATAAGATATATCCAGGCGACAGATGAACGCAATCGCAGAGTCGTATGCCTTTCCCTTTCCAATAAATTAGTGAGGCACCAACCACGGCTTGATTACTTACCTAACGTGATGTCACGTGTTGATGCAGTTTCTCAAAACTGATGTAAAAGGAGCAATTCAAGTATTATTTAAAGTTCAATTGCTGTATCAAATGATATATATTGGTCAAAGATTCCACTTACGCCTACTGAAATCAGATAAATTGATACTGGTGGGTGTCAAACTGCATTTAGGATTGGTCCCACTTTGCCCTTGCCCTATAGCGCACATTCCGGACAACACCCCATAACAGCACGGCCGGCTGGCCCAATGGCAAGGCGCTTGACTACGAATCAAGAGATTGCAGGTTCGATCCCTGCGTCGGTCATCTCTTTTTTGCGCCTCCAAAGTGGGATCTACATTGGAGGATCTCTTTTTGCTGTCTGTTACTGGTTGCAATTCTTTTTTATTCATGACATGATTGATGGGTTTCAACATATAACAGCTACACTTCGTCTCACCCCGGGGTATCAAGCAGTGGTCACTTTACGAATATCCTAAATGGAAAGACTTTACTACATCATTTTTGGATTTACTCGGCCAGAAATGCCCAAGGGCTGCTCGATAGGGATGAGATTTAAACGACGGGCTAGTCGATGTGTTTATGTATGTATGTATAATTTGGTCTCTCAACTTAAGTGGGCCTCTGAAATACTAAAAATATATAGAGATAGAGTTGGAAAGTAAAATGAACTGGGTATAGCAAAAATATATTTGAGCCTCAATTACTTTTGATTGGATTTATCATCAGCTTACGTCTTATCTTGATGTAGAAAATTCCGATCCCCAAGTAGTATGTGAAAAAGTCAGATTGTGGTCAATATTTAAGAGTCCTTCCCACAATGATATGTCGAGGAATCTCTTCCTTGTAGTAGTTATGGCCCTTAAGAGGGTGAACTATGAGGTGCGCAGAAACTTCTGAGCGGTGATTGATCGTATGGGATAAGTTTCGGAGGTATTCTCTACGATACACCATTTGTACATGCAGTCGGCCCCATCGAGGAGGCTTTTTCGCCAAATTTATATAATATTAGATTTGCGGAACCATCCGGCCGATTCCCTGCTTTTTCAGTTGTGCACCTAGAAGCGGATTGGACAAAGGTTGACAATGCTTCCAGCTGATAAACCGCTCTATTTCGTTTCCCGAGAATTTCCCGCGCTATATGACCGGGTCGAGCCCATGGCAAGTGACCTAAAGGATGTAAGGCTAAGTTCAACCCTTAGTCTCATGAGAGATGAGCGTGATACTTTGAAGTACTGGCTATTTTGGCCGGTGGCTATTTTTGGCGGCATCAGCATTTTTTTTAAGGTTGGTCCAAGTAATTTTATAGGAGGTCTCGATGATGTAGGCTTTATATTGGGGAAATAATCAAGCATTAAGCTATAGTTCGAATGTTTAGAAAGAGTGAATTCATAGTTCGCAAGTCGTTACACGGCGGTTGAGAAGTATGTGCTAGTGTCTTGGGCATTTCATCGGCCAGCTTGTGCTATTTGCAAGCAATCTCTCTCTCTTCCATCCACCTCGGTCAATCATTCGTTTCTCTTAATATCTTCTACCGAATGACGCCCTCTTGCCAACTAAAGTACATCGGTCATGTGATTCGAATTGTCGTTCTACCCCGCTCCTAACAAAGTCCTTACTCTGACTCTCTTTCAAGATTATATTGTACGGAAGAAGTATTCAGAATGTCGATTACCCATATCGTTCTTTTCCAGTTCAAGTCAGAAGTAGCCGCCGAGGTTGTCCAAGATGTACGTTTTGCCAAAAGACCATGACGCAGATGGACTGGACTATGAACAATAAGCACTTTACAACGAATGTTAACAATTACCTTAAAAGGCCTGTGAACGTATGCTTGCTCTCAAGAACAATTGTGTCCACCCTACATCACAACAGCCCTATATAAAATCTGCGTCTGGTGGGAAAGATAATTCTCCCGAAGGTATCCAGGTAGGTTTCCACGAGATCCCAGAAGATGGAAAACTCCGATGATATTTGACTGATGCATGATAGAATGGAATTACACACGCATTCGTGGTAGAGTTTGCAAATTCTGCAGATCGAGACTATTATGTACAAAGCGATCCATCTCATTTGGCCTTCGTTAAAACTCTCGATGGGCTCATCGAGAAAGCACAAGTCATTGACTTCACCGACAGAGTTCTTTGAAGTGCTCAGTCACTGCTTCAGGTGTCCTCAAATTTGCACCTTTAATGGGACATAGAGCCTTGACTTTTGTAAATAATTTGAAAGAATAGATCGCATGTTATGTTCCTTCGCTATATATGTATATACGCGGCCAACCGTTTCATACAGCCTGTGGACTTTTCTAGTGTAAAATCTATAGCTATCGATATAATAGCTAAAGCTTTCTAACTTGACCATGTGTCTTGCACCAATCTAGAACTTGTGTTTCTGTAGAGCTATATCTTAATGTTATGAATCTGCTCATTCACTTCCTATCTTCCCATAGCATAAATAAATTTGTAACGTAGAGCATTTGTGGATTGGTCCGTAGAGTGCCACGCCTCCCACAAGAATGAATCCTCGGAACACGGAAATACATTCCCCGGTAAAATAGCAATGCTCCAATTGCCGATGAGTTTAATAGGCCGGAATGTAAGCCAAGCTTCAGGTTCAGGTAGCCACCCTGTTAGAACTGGCTGATGCGCCAATAGTATACTATATTCAGATAGGCATCGGATCTTCTGAACTGAAAACTCCAGATCTATAAACACCTTGCATTGCGAGGACTGTAATGCATACCACTGCCGAACTTGGTACTCTTTCGTGGTTTTAAACGTTTACCAGAACAGTATGGATTGTATGCCTGGAATATACCAGGGTTCAATAAATGGTTGAAATTGAGTTCTCGTAAATATATCAATGAGCGTATATTGAAGCTACGCATAGTTTCACTCGGACTTGGCTCAGGGCCCGAGAATTCCCTATCCCTGCGGTTCCGTTCCAAGTTAGGGCTCGACTCTGTTTGCTCAACCAACGACAATTACCCGAAATAGAGAGATTACAGTAAAATAGGTTGAATTGATCTTTCTTATGCCTTCCGCCTCAAAGTTGATAATATTGGAATACGTACGGAGTACTATGTAAAGCTTGTGCAGAGTTACAATCTTCGCGAGTTCTCTGACTGGGCATTGCTCGGACGCAAGGGAGACGCGAATAAAACACGCCAACCATTCCCGAGCCTCGCAGCCACCCGCAAGGTTTTTTTGTTTCGATTGAATTGATGGCATTTCTGGAACCTTTTAGGCGCGATGTTACTATAGCGAAATAAAGGCAATACGTGACAAAGGAAACCGAGCCGAAGAACCTACCTTGTTTCGGAATTGCCAACGTGGCTGGAACTTGTGCATACAGCGATATCGCACTTGTGTTAATACGGGAAAGGACTTCGAATTGCCTTAATTGCCTCTGAGATTGTGTATACACTTGACCTCCAAGATCAGATCTACAAAACACACCGGGGGCGGAACCTATAACTCCCGATATGAGCACATATCTAACCTTGAATAATGAGGTAACCCATAGGATCATCCCTGTCAGTGAAAAATTTGTGATCGATCCACACGGCTACAGAATTGGCGATCGACGATGCATCGTTGGAAGAAATGTCTAAAATTGCTTGCCCAGAACCGAGTCTCATGAACGCCCGGTTTCCGAGACAAAAGACAAAGGGAACGAGGCAAAGAGACACATTCAAATTGAGCTAGTGAGCCTGCATGGAAAGAAAGAAATATCGATTTTCCCCAGAGCTAGGGACAAGGAATCCCGTTTCCCGCGAACTTCCAAGACCCTCACAGGGTTCATCTATGCACATATCCGACACGGTAAACGGGGACTTAAGGGATCGGCTGGCTATTATTGAAATATTCTGTACTTCAGAAAACGGGATATAGAAAACTTTAGAGATAAGTCTCTAATCCAAAAGAGGAACAGGGGACACGAAGAATGAGAGGGATAGGTTTGGCCAGAACACGAGACTTCTCTTTGCTTCTTCTCCCTTTTACCCCTTCGGTCTGGGCCGCTTTCCACTTGATCCACTGAGGGTCGAATACCTAATCTGCATGGGTCTCTGCCGCCAGCATATGTTCCCTGCAGCCTGCAGGTCATGGTTGCCGCCTGTACTGCCCATCTGCTGTGTTGCATCCGATGAGTTGCAGTAGATCGTGGGTTTATCGCCCGCATACAAAGATCGATACCCGTAGAAGCGATCGCTTCTGATAGACACCTTGAATTCCTAGTAAGAGCCGGAATAGGTAAAAGGAACTCCAAGCAATCCAGCCCCCCAGGGAGGACCCACTGAAGCCGCCAGGAGAGCCAGATTGGTGTGCCGAGCCTGTCATCCTGTCCATGCCAAAGGTACGGCTGTCGCCTAGTTCAACCAGAGACTGTGGATCGGTTTGTCCTTGACACGCCAGGAATAGCATAGATGTGCATAACTCCGTACATACTAATATATGTACTCTCGCTCCTGTCTTTTGACACTCTCATTCTCCAAGCACACCTCCATGGTGTAGAACAGTTATAATCTTTTCTTTCTTTTTTTTTTCTGTTCCTTTCCTTTCTTTGGGAGTTGTCATTCCCAGTCTCTCGTTTCGCCTTGTCACTCGTTGTATAGTATTTGCTTCACCTCCAAGCGTTGCCTTTATTCTTTTCATTTCCTTGTTCGCATTCAAGGACATTTTAGCTGGAATCGTCATTGTTCCAAACTCCCGCGAACTGCCTAGCTCTTTATAAGAAAGAGCTCCTTGTCCGCCGATCGGATCAACCGAAACAACACCAATCCAACATGGAATGCTTTCGACAAATTTTCCGGTGCCTGAAGGCACCTCTCAGACGCGACAAGGGACGGATTATTGAGATTGTAAGTCGGGTAGAACTCCGGGAAATGGTTTGCCGTTGCAAAGACAGTCGCTAACAAATTTATGAAACAGGGCCCTCCCACTAATTTCCGCAAGGAAGAATTGCCTGCTTATTTCTCTGATGCCGAGTCAGTTCTCTCGCCCAGCCAAAATTCGACAGAACGATCACATCTGACCAATCAATTACAGGACGCTCACGTCCCAGGACAGCTGCACAGCGACGGCGGAGAAGGACGGAACGATGATCGAAATGGTATCTCTACCATCGTCACCGAAGAGCAAGGTGCGGGCCCATGTTCGAAGGATGAGCGTGAAACTGTCATCCGCCTCCGAGAGCGCATGAAGTTATCCCGATGGTGGAAATCGAGGTCAGCTGCAGGTCATGAAACTAAGGCCCCGGCCGAATCGATCAGGATGGAGGAGATGCGAAACGCCGAATTAGCGTGTTCATAGGGAAACTGTGGATTGGTACATGGATGGTCACACCAAGAAGGTGGGCACTTCATTGTGCCGGGATTTTTTTGCATTTAAGTTGTTCCCTCCGCCTGCTACAGGCGATTGTCTTGCAGTCGGTTCACTGGACTTGTTAGAGATAGAGTTATTTATTCGAGATGACTCCGGTAGTTCATCAAGGTCATCAAAAAGCGATTGAACTCGAGATTTATACGCATTCGCTGGACTGGGTCGTCCGTGTGTCGGTTTCGCTTTCGGCTTTGACGTAAAAGTGCTTTGTATTTTAGATTGCTGCCAGCCTCGTTGTGTTGTCTGAACGTGAGTTTGACTCTTGCGCAGAGTGGCATTTGTTCGTTTTGGCGGCAGCACCACTGGCTTTGTTTCTAGGCCAAGATCGTCATCGTCATCCGAACCCGAGGCCGTCTCTTCGTCCAGCTCAATCCCTGGAACTTCTGCTGCTCTTGATGGTGCAGCCACACTCCCGATACTGTTCACCCGGGTTCGTCTAGTACCTAAAGTAGGCGCCTGCCCAAAGCCCGCAGCAGCTCTAGTAGAGGACCTAGGTGCATAGACTCCCGCTAAGGATCGTGTTTTTCGTGGGCTCGTCATGAGATCGTGAAGATGTGTTCCAGCCCATCTCTCATCATCTTCATCTTCATCTTTCTCGTCGACTCCTCCGTCTCCGATCTGCGCGAGCCCGGCTTTTTGTCGCTCCCTCAGCGCTTCGGCTTGTCTTCTTCGTTCAACTTCATTCGACAGTGGGGTACGATTGTCGGTAGGCCTCTCAATATCCTTCATTCCGGCTGCATTTTCGGCTTTCACTTGCTTTCTCCGTCGTAGGTACTCCGCATGATGTAGATGTTGAGTAAATGCTTGCGCGACGGCGTAGAACTCATCTTCTACCATAACCCAGCCATCATCATGTTGAATTCCTTCCACCAAAAATCTATAACGTGCCTATTAGCGACTTTGTCTAGTTGCGCGGGGCCTGGTTGTGATCGTACTCTTCGGAGGGACAGCGTCTGATAGGAGAGGTCGGCGGGCTTTGGGCTGTACAAAGCAATCAGATTTTATCTTTTGTCACAGATATTCCACACCTAAAACCTACAGGATCTGAAGAAATCGCGTCTTGGGGAGAAAACTCGAGGGTTTTTGGGAGTGAGGTCGCGATCAGGACTGGGTTCCGTCTTCACGCGCTTTCGCGGCGTTGACACTTTTTTCACGGGGATGTTATTTTCGGCGCGAAGCCAGGGCAATGTCCTAGGCATAATTCAAAATAATATAGAGGAAAATCAAGACGTCGATTGGCGTCGCGATCTCAGCCAAAGATTACAATGAGGGAAAGAGAGCTGCCGATAGACATCCACGGCCGATAAGGTGAGGTCACCCGCCTTCCGCGCAAACACAAACCTTCAATTTAGAGCTTCACTACGAAGTGGAAAATTTGCGAGTATGAACCTCATTCTTTTGGGTATCTAATGCCAGTTTGGACATTGGTAATGCAAGATAAAAAGAACTGGGACTGCCTCAAACGCCTCGTGCAGGATATATCACCGAAATCAAGAACGGACTGCCGGTAGAACGCCCATTCAACCATTCGAGGGAAACAAAATTAAACGCCAGTATCTCTGCCCATGCAAGGGTCCACTTACACCTCACCAGGCCGCTTGCTATTACAGCTCACAATCTTAACCTTATCCGCGGACACAGTTGTCTGGTTGTCCAGCTTGAACGAGACATCCTTGATCAGGAAGGTCCAGACTTCGTCGCAGAATCGGTAGGTATCCAGGTGGCCCTAAAATTGGGGGGAAGATGTATATGTTAGCCTCGTTGAACTATCATTAAACATGACCCATTTAGGCTAGGGTGCTTTGAACGGGAAATGAGTTACCTTGAAGGTCAGTCTGGCCCGGACTTTGTCCGCCAAGACTTCAGTGACAATCTTGTCAAAGGTCCCGAGGATCTTCATTGCCAGCTGGGGTTCGATGCGGCCTTCGTTGATTAGGTCGTCGAGGGTATCGGTGAGGGATAACCCGAGGCTAGATGTTCCTTGAGTCAGCGTTGAAGCTTTCGGTTTGCTTAATCGGGTATATTACCTGCTGCCACGGTAAAGCTCATAGTAAGCCACAGATGCCATTCTGAGATGAAATAATGGCAGACTCGTCGAAAGAGTATCGGAGGAGTGAGTGACAAGAGCAAGTTCATGATCGCCGGCCGAATCGCGGGGGCGATCGAATGCACGTGACTTTCTTATAGTCACGTGGATACTCTTATCTTGAATTGCGTCAGTCAGATGAATTGACTGTGTTTGATCTTTGATCTCAGAAACTTTAGTAAACGTCTAATAAGCTCGGAAGCTAAGCTGCAGTATGATTGCTAAGGGTCCAGGGCCTCTATCCCTTCTGAATAAAACATTATCCAGTCAATTGCATGTTACTTGTGTACGATCTTTATCAACAACATTCAGAGCATCAGAAGCCCAAGGTCGGTCAGTTCCGTTCAAAGCCAATCCCAGAGCTAACATGTATTGTCTTGGAGGACTTATAGACTCCCAAGGCCACCAAAACCCCGAGTCCAAGCAAGAGAAAGGCGATCAGGTATCAAAGAACTCCGAAAACCAAGACAACAAGCGCCACACGCTTCCACCCAAGGCCAAAACTGTATCCGAAGCCGACGCCGAGCTTCGCGAGCGACTCGAACAAATGTCTGGAGCAGGAGGAGCCTGCGGAATTGAATACGAAGACGGCAAACCGAATGCAATGAAGCGCGGCGTGCGAAACAACATGTTCCGATTGATTTGAAACAATCTTCGACATCAACATATCGAAGCAACAAACCATAATTATCTCAAATGCCACGGATATATCTCCCAGTGAGGTCTCATGCCCTGTAAGCAGGCTTGGCTCCAGATGCCTTGGTAATACACGTGGTGAAAGAATGTTCTCGGCTCATCGTTCTCTTCCATCTCCGGGAGTTACAGGCATTCACCCATTCACCAGGACCCTTCTTGAACTTTGTTTCCCACAACATATATGAGGATGGCTGGGATTGGCCTCGGCTGAGATTGCCTAATTAATAATCCGAATATGGCCACCCGTGGACGGCTGCATGTGACATTTCTTTGATAAGGGTGAACGGTCATGCATAATGCATTCCGCTCTTCGGGTGTGACTGCATTCTCCGATGACGCTTCCTTGAGCGGAGCCGCGCAATCAGTCACGGTGCTCTCTCGCTATGAACTTGACTTTGGATAGTTGGGACATTCTTGGTTATTTGGCATTGGAACACTTTCTTTTCGTGGTTGAGGGCGACTTCGTTGCAATGCGCTGGGTCAGAGGGAGTGCAGTGCATGCGTGTCCTGTCAATTCTCGGAGCAGTGCCTCATTGGCCAGGATCGAATGCTGTGCTTTGATCGGCGGTAAAGTTTAGCTCGAACAGTTGGATTTTGACAGGAAAAATCCATAAAACATAGCAAGCCATATCATGGGGCTGAGAAATAGACTGGTCCAAATCCAATGAAAGTGTGGATAAACGAAATTACCACCGTCCAAAAATAGGATCTTAGTGGCAGAAACAAATCTCATTTCTATGCCGTGAGCCCCGGCTCGAATTTAAAAAGAAACAAATATTATCCCATTAACACCTAATTTCGGACCATTTTCGCATTGAATTCCGCCCAAAGAAGAAAAACCAAAGAGAGCCCAATGCATGATTGACGTTTCAAAGAAAAGCTCATTTCCGCACAACCATGCCAGCCAAAACACCAGCGCCAATGACACCACCGTCGGAGGCTTCCCGTAAGAAAACCGACTTTCCGCCTCGCTGTGGACCGGTCCGCATGATAAGACGGTCAATATATTGCTGGCACATTTCCTTGAATTGCGGGTAATGTTGGATAATGCCACCAGTGTAAGCAACGACGAGCTCTTCAGGACCAGACTGCCAATCTATTGGCGTAGGATCGAGAACAGGGACGACATGTTCCTGGGTTGTGTGGTTGGTAGCGACAGCGGCAGGGTTAAGGTTTGCAGCTGCGGCGTCCGGGACACCAGTGGACTCAGTGATGGCGTCGCCGTTGCTCTGGGGTGAAGCGGGATTCTCGGGTGAGCTGCTGTTGCTGTCTTCCTTCAGCTCGATCTCGCGAGCACAGGCTAGGAGACCGACCACCGCAGCGGCGATCAGCCCAGCTGACCGTCTTTGTACTGTGCGAGCGATCTTTCGGAATGCGCCCGCGGCTCGGGCGTCCCAGCGCCAGTCACTGCTCTCTGGTGGAGGGAGGGATTTGTTCAAGGCCTGGGCGAGGTCGTTGTCAGATCGAGATTTGGCGACATGGTCGGAGATGTATGTAGTTGTCAGGGCGTATTCTTGGATGAGGTTGGCAGGTAGGGAGCGTTTTGATAATTCGGCGACTGTTGTGAGATAATCGAATAAGATCAAGCGAATCAGTTCACCAATATAGCGGCCTCCAGTCATGTATTCGAAGGGCTGGAAGCCTGGACGTGCACATGCCTGGTCCAGTTCGATGTCCCATTTTGTGGTCACGTTGAGCTCCTTGAGTGGTGGTGCGGCACCAGAAATAGTCCACTCGGTGTTGACGACAGTCTCCACAGCACTGGGTTCCATTACGTTCACGCTCTTGGCTTTAGATTCGTGCAAATCACCGAGCTTCATTGGGATAGTTGCGTTACAGCCAGTGCCCACGATGATACCCATGGCGACTCTACTGTTTGGTAGAGACTTGACTTTGTATGCAAGGGAAGCTAGCGTGGCCACCGTGTCGTTGGTGATAGCTTGGATTTTCAATTTTGGTAATGCGAAAAGTTTTCGACGTTTGGTTGTGGGTTCGTCTTCATCATCAGGTCGCCTTGTATGTTTTTCATATCCATTCAGAAGGATGTTGCCAAGATTGAGATTTGATGAGATGGCGAAGCCTTTCCCCATGGGCATTAATGTGGCCTCTGCCAATGATTCTTGCCTAGGCTTAGTTAGCATAAAATCGACGAAACAGGAGTCCCAGAATCCAGGAAGACCAGCAGCACAAGCACAAGCGAAAATAACTTACATGATGGGGAAACTGAATGTGATTCCCATATCTAATTCGGCAGGGATATCCTTCTTCGTGGCATCTGATGATAGACTCTCCGCTACCACTTCCGCAATGCAATCACCGATCCAAGAAAAGAGATCCTCAGCCTTGTCCATCTTCAAATGCTCTTGAATAGGCCAAGCTCTTTCCAGCGTCCGCTTCACCCGCTGGCGCTGAGCTTTCCGGATAGTGTCCTGTGACCTCTCCGTAGCATCTGTAGGTCGAACATCGGAATCCACGGCTTCTCCGAGTAACTCGATAAAAGCCACCCGAAGGTTGCTACCTCCTACATCGATCGCTAGATAGCGACCAGTTTCCTGGCCAGTAGGAAGTTGAGTCACGGGTGTTGGCAAAAATTGCTGGTCCGATGTCAGGGCAAGGTTGCGGTATGTGGTGGAAAAGCGCCGGGCCAGTTTGTACAGCACAGCCTCATCCAGGGAGATTGGTGATAAGAACTCTTCCAATTGTTGCTGGTGTGCCAGATATTCTTGTTGAATGGCGTTTAGTTCCGAGCTGCCTTCCTCATGTTCCTCATCTTCAATCAAGTCGTCGTGCATAATTTCGCGCTCCTCATCCTTCTTAGAGGATTTCGAATTGGCCGAGGTCATGATGGGGAAAAATGGAAGATATATATCCCCTTAAAATTCCCTATTCCAAATTGTGGAAAATACCAGACCAAATGAGCTGGCAGAGCTATGTCAATAGTGACGTGTAGGGTTCTGGAATGTTTAGGAATAGAGACAGGGCATATCCTTAAAATCTTTGAATTGTGGATACAAGCTACCGGGGAAGCTAATCCAATGGCTCAAGAGCTAAACTTGTTGTGTTAGCGAGGTTGCAATAAAAGGGAAGGGAACATTTCGGTGACGCGGTCTGCAGGTCGTCCGGGCTGCGGGGGAAAAAGAGAAAACACGATGATCATGCCAGAAGGGGGAATCCCCCATCTATGTTTTATTCCGTACATACCCTGGAATTTAGGTATGCACTGATTGCGCTGATCACAAAGATTAATGGTCTTCCCTTTTTTTTTTTTTTTTCCTCTTTTTTTTTTCAAGGATGATAGGAGAGGTGATTAGACTATATATGGGGGAACCGCGGGATCTCTTGAGGGAAATATCCCTAGATAGGTGAGGGAGTGAAGAATGGAAGTATAGAGCTCCCTTTTAGACGGGACAGATGACGGTAAAAAGGAAAAAGGATAGGCAATTTGTTCGGAGGTACCTTTGATGTTTTGATCCAACCAACTAAGGATTGGTAGTGATTGGAAGAACAAGTCGGAGAACAGTCGGAGATTCAGAAGTGGGGGGAAGAAATGATTCCTATCCGATGTGACATATGATCAGATTGAGAAGTTCAAAAATTAGACAGATCATAAGCTTGAAAGTTATAAGAAAAGAAAATCAGTAAATATATATAAGAAATGAGATGCGACCATCGGAAGGCACGAGGCGATGCGACGCTGTTCGGGACAAGTTAAGAGTATCCCTTGACTTTCGATTGGATTGAAAAAAACTTTACTTTTAGACTCCCCTCTTTGGCATCTTTCTAAATTCAACTCTCCAAGTCTATGTAACCCTACTTTAGGTCATTATGTTCGGCTAAACCTTTCCCCTACCTTTCAGTAGAGATTATCCCAGAGAGCCAAGCTAATTTCTCCATTCCTTCTATCACGATTAGACGAAACACAGCCTATACGTTTGAATGCGAGTTCCAATCAGCTGGAGACTATAAAGTAATAATAGTATACATATGTACCTCTTTACGAGGGACCTTAGTGGAGTCGAAGGATTCTGGCTTGGAAAAACGCGCCAAAGTATCGGCAAAGTATTATGTTCCAATGTTGCTATTCGTTCGATACGAGGCCCGCCTAAGTTCGATATACTACTCGTGGCACTTGCGTAGTGATCGGGCCGGACATACCCGTATTCAGACGCAGGCGCATCTGCCTTTTGATCCAACGGGGACGAACCCGTTGGCATGGTCTCGTTTGCAGGGTCTCGTTTGCAGGGCCTCGATCGTTCGCTGGCACCCGCCACACCGGGCTGTCAGATCCTACTGGGCTCGGTTCAAATTACCTTACCTTGGGGTTGCCCATAGTTGGCCATTTGCCCATCCGCAAATAGCTTGATGCTTCTCGTGTTTGGCACAGTTCTATCATAGAATTGATTAATGAAGGTTTTCATGTACGAGCCTCAAAAGCACGCGATCCCAAGCTATTATGCACGGTCTGTCCATAGACCATACCCCATAAAGCCCAGTGATCCTAGTTGGGCCTATTTAAAACCTAAGCTCCGGAGTATGTACTGGATGCCCCGTCGAAATCGCCTCCGAAGTCGGCGCCCAGCCTAGCACGGATACATCGTATGGGTTTGGTGATTGTGGACACATTTAAGCATTTAAGAGAGGACAAAGTCTTACCGGTCTTTCGACTAAAGCAAGAGGAATAATTATGGGGCTGTATCTTTATTATTAACAATAATAACAAGGGCATATGTTCATGAGTATGTACCTTGAAGGGCTTCCAACGTCCACGGGAAGAGCTTACATAATCGACTTGGCCCACCTGGGCACCCTAGGCCCCAGGACTGGAGCTCTGGACTCTCCACATGATCTTATCAAAACAACGTCACTTCTGATTTTATCCCATCATGGAAAAACTACCGATCCACTCCAAGGAGGGATATGGTGACACTCTTCCACTGGGAAACCACCCTGATCGTCGTGCACGTCCTAGCACAACCACCTATTTGTGTCGGATCGGTGTCATCGCATTGCTCTTCATCGGCTACATTTTGCTTCTACGGCCGTCTTCCCCACGATGTAGCGGCATAGCCCCACAAACGGAGAATTATAGAGCTGAGGTTCAAGAAGAGCATGACAACTATGTACAGCTGGGACACTTTGCTTCTGATGCACATCAGACACTTGAACAAACTAAGATACCGCTGGAGGCTCACATCATGAGCAAATGCCCAGATGCCCAGTACTGCTTGCAAAAACTGGTTCTACCAGCCATGGAAAGAATCAGTGACAAGGTGGACTTCAAACTATCATTCATTGCTAGGTGAGCATCGAACCGCATGTGGAGAAGAACCGATGTTATTCTGTACCAGACTCCATTCTAAACATTTGACTAATATTATCATCATAGCGTGTCTAAAGATTCTGAAGAGATAGAATGCAAGCATGGCCCAGGTGAATGCATCGGTGACATGCTCATGCTCTGTGCGGCCAATCTTCCTTTCCCTCCCACTGCGGACGAAGAGTCTCTTCCATCTCAGTACCCCCGACCCCCTATTATCCGGTCGCTAGGATTTGCAAACTGTCTGATCAATGACTTTGCCCGGATCCCCGACCGCGAATTTGTCCATCACTGTGCAATGGAGCATGGAATTGACTTTGACGCCTTAAACAAGTGTGCGAGCCAACAGAATGATGACCCGAACGATGGCAATGACGGCGGACCACCACTCAGTGGTATTGCGCTACTACGCGAAAGCGCTTTGCATGGCGAACAACTTGGTGTTAAGATTAGCTGCACAGTGCGTCTCAATGATGCTGTCTGGTGCATCCGCGATAGCGACGAGTGGAAAAACTGTGCCCAGAATGGACAAGGCAGCCAACCCTCAGCCCTGATCGATCAAGTCGAAAAGCTCTGGAAAGAGAGAAACTGAGCTCTAGATGAATACTTCATCGTTTATACCCTGCCTTCATTCCCATACGATAGGACATGAGACTCGATAACTAAATGCCCCTGATGATCTAATACACGTTATCATATCCATTGCACTTGCACTATAGGCATTCCCTACAGTCAAATTTCGTGCTAAGCTAGATATTTCCCAAGACGAACCCCCATATTTGGTAACTCCGACTCCATGTCATGCATTGAAGATAGTATTTTCCCGCGCGTAGTTGACAAACAATCCCTATTAGCCGAGTCACGCACAGTCTGGCCATCTGCCTGTTTCCTTGCCATTGTTGTATTTGATCAGATCTCAGAACTCCTTCATTTTCCTTCCTCTTTCTCCCCTCCAATTATCTTTATCAACATCGTGGGGTTATTGTCCATGATCCGCGTGGAGCTTCGCAATGCCACCATCTTCTCATCCAAAACAGCGCGGTAAGTTGCTTCCAGCCTTGGATCTACCCATACTTTCGACTTTGATATCTTCATATCATTATGCTAATGGAATGGCTACCATAGAGACAAAGCGTGTCATGCCGCGCGGGGTGCGTGGTAAGGAGGACAGCTTGTACCTCAAGTGGAGTGTGGTCATGAATCCAAGCGAGCTCCTAAAAGAGCTCGTTGGCAACCGCGAGCATGCTCGAGCCCTCTTCCATGGACTGAGGCGCCAAGTCAAATCCGTCCGCCACCGCTCGCAGTCCTACGACGATGGCCAGGTCACGATCTACGACCGTGTTCTTCTTCGCCTCTATGACGAGGGACACACCATGCAACACTACGGTCTGCTTGAATTCTACCTGGCCGAGTATCTGGGAACCAAGAACTGTCACTCGGAGGAGGAGAACAACTCTGTCATTGCTGCCCACTTTGCTGCCCAGCGCATCCTGGACAATGGTTTGTCGCTGCGCCTTGATGGAATTTATTTTTTATCTATTTTAACATAACCTACCAGGCCCTATTTCCGAAATCCCAATTACTGAAACCGATAGCGTGGGAGCTGCCACCGACGAGATCGAGACTGGCAAGTCGTCACAGAACTCTGGCGCAACCAAGTCATCCCACATCGACAAGCTCATCCAGGTATACCAGAAGGCCAAGGCTGACTACTACATCCTTCAGGTTTCTGAGAACCACCTTGAGCGAACCAGCAGTGTTCGATTTCTCCGTGACACGGCTGAGAACCTTCTGCGATACCTGATGTCAGCCGACAAAGACCACGATCTGATTCCCGAAATTGAGGATATCATCCAGGTTAGCCAGGCACGTGCAAGTCAACTAGCTGGCGGCCGCAAGCGCAAGTTTGAGCGCATGGACAACGACTCGAGGGGCAGCCCAAGCCTCAGCCCCTACCGACCTCGCGGATACTACAGAGACCAGCGCGGAGGACACAAGCGTCGGGACCGATATGTCCCCGACAGTGTCACATGGGACCATAGCCACAAGGGTGGATGGGATCATAGCCATGTCAATAGAAGGATCGGATGGGATAATCGTGCCTTGGACTCCTACCGTCCTTAAGCTCACCGCGGATCCGAGCTCCTGGCCGAAGGATACGTTCTGAACTATGAGGGCAGCCTTTTCTTCGCTACTTCTTAAGGCGAAGCACAAACCTGAATGTACTAGAAAAATTAGCCCCAAATCGAAACATCAACTCAAAGCATTTTCCTATTGTAGACAAGTTGAAGTATGAAACCCCGGTCCAGGATCGCCAATAGAACTAAGCTCTGCGCTAAGCCACTCTCATATTAGCGCTAGTTACAGCTCCACGTGGGCAGATGACATAATCCGTCCCAGAAATGCCCAGCTGATCAACATCGGTCACCCGGTCCCGCGAAGCGAGAGGGATCTTGTTATTTTCTTTCATTTCGATCTCAGAGAAGAGGTTATCTCTCCCCAATGGAGAGACTACCTCATCGGCCCGACTCCTAAAACGACTCCCAAACGCGTCTCCCCTAAGAAATGGCAGAGCTTCATCCCTCCGGCGCAGGGAATAATGCATCTTCCAACAGCTCCAGCGCATCCTCAAACCCACAATTCACTCCGGTTTCGTATGCCTCTGACGAAGATAATCCAGTGCCAGGCCCCGCAAAATCACCCACAGGCCCATTGCGACTGCAGACCAACTTTGATGACCATCAAGACGTCGGCGACCCTATATCGGATTTCGAGAACGATGGGAACTACAACACTAGCAAGAAGCTCGAGGGTAAGCTGCCGCGCAGTGGCTTGGGCCCAAGGTACACTCCGGAGGAGGAGAGTGAGGTAGTGAGGAGATTTGACCGGAGGCTGGTCCCGTTTTTGGCCCTTCTCTACTTGCTCTCCTTCTTAGACCGCTCGAGTATGTTTGGTTATTTCGCAACGCGGACTATTCCCCACCCCCGTGGTTGCAAGCATGTACTGATAGTTTACCCAGATATTGGAAATGCAAAGATAGCGGGACTCCAAGACGATCTACAACTTTCATCTTCGCAATATGAATGGCTACTCACTGCTTTTTATATTACTTACATTCTCTTCGAATGGATGACGTTAATGTACCGTGTTGTTCCCCCGCATATCTATATCTCTTTATGTGTATGTGGATGGGGTCTTGTCGCATCATTGCAGTGTCTAGCTACTTCTTTTTGGGGCCTAGTCGTTCTCCGGGCGTTGCTTGGAATCACCGAGGCGGCTTTTGGCCCGGGTGTCCCGTTTTACCTGTCTTTGTTTTACCGCAGACACGAGCTGGCTTTCCGTAATGGATTGTTTATCTCAGCGGCACCACTCGCGACATCTTTTGCTAGCAGTCTGGCCTACTTGATTGTTAGGTTCAGCAGTGATGGCCCGATCTCACCGTGGCGAACTCTGTTCCTTGTGGAGGGGTTCCCAAGTGTAATTGTTGCAGTATTTGCTTGGTTCCTGATTCCAGACTCCCCTGGTCGGGCTCGATTCCTGAGTCGCCGACAAAGAGTGGTAGCTCAGCAGCGCCTCGAGGAGAGCACATCCGATTATCAGCAATCATATGGAAGTCGATTTAACTGGCGAGAAGTTCTGAAGACCGCAGCTGACCCCAAGGCTTATATGGCTGCCGTGAGTGTTATCTCCATTTGAGATGGCGTAAAGGTCCTAACACATTCACCACAGTTTATGTTCTTCAGTTGTAACGTTGCTTTCAGCTCAATGCCTGTCTTTTTACCCACTATCATTAAAGAGTATGGCCCACACCACCATCTATTCATGGCCCCATAGCCAACTTACATCCGATGCAGTATGGGATATTCCTCCTTACAGGCCCAGGCCCTCTCAGCACCTCCCTATCTCGTCGCCTTTGTTGTAGTCCTTCTCACCGCATACGCGTCAGATCGCAGTCGCTCCCGAAGCCCATACCTAATAACCCACGCCCTCATCTCATCACTCGCCTACTTAGCGATCGCAGCAACGGGTTATTTCCACTCACACCTGCCACCATGGCTTCACACATTCATCCGCTACATCTGTGTCTACCCGGCTACGGCCGGGTTCTTCTCCGCAATTACCCTCATTATCACATGGTCAATGGATAACCGTGTCGAAAAGGAGGGCAAGGGCGCGAGCATAGCCATTCTCAATATCATCGGACAGTGTGGACCCTTGCTCGGGACGAGACTGTATCCCGAGACTGACGGGCCGTGGTATATTCGGGGCATGGCCACTTGCTCGTTCTTCATGGTTGTTGTTGCAGTTCTGGCGGTGGGACTGCGGATTCTTTTACAGAGGATGAATCGGGCGTCTGCGGAAACGACATATACTATTGAACAGGCTGGTCCTGTTGATCGGGGTGAAGAGCGGGATGTGCTTATGGGTGGTGGCAGAAGGGATGATTTGGAGCATTCTACTGGGGCTAGAAGGCTTGTGTATATCATATAGTTGATATCCGTAATAACCGCTAGAGGTTCCTCTTGTTGAGGTTAAATATACTGGGATTGTATTTTTGCCCCCCTTCCTCGTGTACGGAGTGCTTGGCTCAGTATATTCCCTTTATATATATGCAAGACCGGCAAGGAAAATTCTATCTTTCCCCCTTCATTTAGGCTTCATCCTGGGATGGTTAGCGCGGCACAAGGATGTTCAATGAAAATGGGTTTGTGTGTTTTGGGTCAAATTTCCAGCCCGACTTTCTGATATTGATCTCTTTGTTCTGAATATCCCGCACACTTTACTCTAGTATCTTGGCTTCATCCCGTGTCCTTTTGTTCAGCTAATTCTACTCACTTATCCATCGCAGCCGTTATTTGCACAACTCGCAGTGATCCGTCGAGACACAGATTGGAATATGCATACTTTAAAGAGCCAAATGGGGAGAGCTCTTCGAATTGGAAGACCTCATTGCAGAGATATACGAAGCCACGAGCAGCTTTGTCCGATGGAATAGGCGTGGGGAGCCTCAACAAGTCACGCAGAGTATGTATATGGTATATATGTAAAGTCTATGATATGTACATGTCCACGCCTAAGGGTGTATTTTTTTTTCGCATTTCTTGGAATCAAAGAAGCGCAGCGAAGGGCGAATCGGCCACCTGCGAGTCATTCCAGCCAACACACTTCCAGCAGCTCAACAAACCTTTGGGATCATATTTGTTCTTGATGCTCACCAACTTCGCATAGTTATCACCCCACCACGCCTCGACCCAATCATTTGTGAATGGGTTGGCCTCGTTGCTGTATGCGCCACTGCCAGGGGTAATGCCCTCAATAACGGCTGTCATGTTCTGAATGGACGCGATCTTCTGCTTCCGGGTGGGAATGGTAGCGTTCCACTCCCAGGAGGCACCGGATCCCAACTCCCAGATAGCCTCACGCCAGGCGGGAGCGGCACTGGTCGATCCTTCGGTGTAGTTGTACAACACTGGCCCGACGACGGGAATGTAAGGTGTCTGGCCCAGTGATTGGATGGTTGCAAAGTAATCCATGAGGTTCGTACGACCCTCCGCAGTTGTGAAGATGGAGCGAGGGATCAGTCGGCTTCCGGGGAAGCGAGTGACGCCGACAGCGACGGAGCTGGTCTTGACGTATTTCTCGTAGAAGGGGTACCAAGAAGTGAACTCCTCGATGGTGGCGGAGCCACCGTTTGCTTTGGCGTAGGCGATTACGCTTGCCAGAGAGACCTCGGCTTGCTCGATGGAGAGGAAAGGAGAGACGTTGACGAGGGTGTTACCGGTGATGTGGCCGCCCCATCCTTCCTGTCCCCATTTAAGGGTGTTGTTAACCACAATCTCCATGAATGGAAGCATGTTAGTGGAGTTGGTGGGGAACTTGATGTTGGCAGCGACAAAGCGGATAGCGGGCTCGACACGGTGAGTGCTTTCGAGGACTACGCCAAAGGTTCCACCACCGCCACCGCGGAGGGCCCAGAAGAGGTCGGCGTTCTGGAATTCATTGGCGGTGCGGTAGACACCGTCTGGGGTAACAATCTTGAATTGGAGAACACGGTCAACACCGAGGCCATACACAGGACTCAAGATGGAATGACCGCCGTTTTGTATCCAGCCGCCTGAGACACCGACGGTGGGTGAGTAACCGCCAAGTATGGTTACGTTGTTTTCCTGTGCAAATTCGTACGCCTCGTCGAAGTTGACACCGGCGCCGACGGTGATGGCTTTATATCTACGCGCGGTGTTTGTGGCGCCACAGGGAACAAAGTCCGCACTGTAGGACATGGAGCGCAGGTTTCGCGTCCAAAGGGATAGCGTGTCACGGCCACTGCTGCGGGTGAGGTAATCATGACCACTATTTTTGATGACGAGCTTCTTGCCGGAGCAGTTGGAGAACTCGAACGCCTCAATCACATCCTTTTCGCTCTGCACTTCAAGATAGTGAGAGGGTAGATTGCCCTGACGACAGATAGCGTTCGTGAACGCTAGGGGGATCCGTTGGATTGCTACTATCGAGGAGGCACTGATCACTAGGATCGGATGCCCACATCTCATCCTGGTTGTTCATGTAACCATTCGGAGAATTTGCTCGCAGCCATGGATCCGAGTAGTTCTCTTGGATAGCAGTGCAGGCAGCATTGTCGCGAGCCACCGGGTTCCCATTATAGCTGGAGAAACAGGGCAAGGAGAAAGGGGTTAAATGCTGGGCGCGCCCTCCAACGGTTGCATTGAAGTCATTCAAAGTGCAGTCCGCAACCGTCGAGCTTACTAAGGCCAATAGGAGGCCGGATAACTTGGCGAACTCCATTGCGGCATGAACGATAGAAATGACGAAAAAGAAGAAAAAAAGTATAAGTACCTCGGTAACGGAGGCAGAAATAGAAGAAGGACTTTGAGACACACTAAGATGAATTAGGAAGGACCAAGGGGAACACTCGGGAAACACTAAAGAAGCACTAAAAGAAGCACTAGAAAAGGGACGCATGAACCAGTGAATGTCTTAGTTGTACGAGATGGTACTCTCTATCATTGGCTGATCGTCATTTTTAATCTATATTGATCCAATTTGATCCAATTTAATCCAATTTAATCCAATCATCTGACAAACTTTGAATCTTTTTACGATCGAAGCAATTGGGGAATTCCACCGAGTCCATCGATTCCACCAATGCCACCGAGTCTACCAATTCCATCGATTCTCGCCAATTTCCACCAAGTCCAAATTCACCCAAGTCCACCGAGTCCACTTATATCGTCCCTTTAGAAACTCGGTTGGTCCAATGAGTGAAAGTAGAGTTCAAGTGATGACCTCAACCCAGTTAATTGTCCACGAGGAAAATGTCGATCCCCCTTAGCCTCTTCAATAAGTTTAAGTTTTTTCGGGTCTCAAAGGCTCTCGGGGTCTCAAAGGTAGAGAGAATGAGGTTTTCTTCTTTCTTTTTTTTTTATTTTTTCTATCCACATCAAGATGGCGCATATGGTGAATACATATTGGAAAAATGTCCTTACTATTGTGCCAATCGTTGGGGCTGGTTTGGCTACGATGACCTTTCTGTTACGTCTGTATTGCAGGCGAATGAAAGCGGTGGGGCTTCTGCTGGAAGATTATCTAATGGGAGCTGGTCTGATCATCTCCTTCGCGGTGACGGCCTTTGTAGTGGATAGTAAGTATTTCCTGACATCCATGGAGACTAACCATACTAACGATTAAAAAGCCGCCTTCAATGGTGTCGGGCTACCGATCAAGTCGCTCCCCAAAGATGAACGGATGCGTATTCAATTCGTATGTGATAGCTTAGACTAAAGACCGACCTTGATAACATCTAACGTCATTTTGCAGGGATCATGGATGATACAAAAATTCTGGGCCCCATCAATGGCCTTCGTCAAGATCTCGATTGTCGTCTTCATCAAACGACTATTCAGCTCCATCCGGGCATATGTCGTTGTTTCCTACTGCCTAGCCGGATTTATCGCCACATGGGCTCTCGCTGCCCTGTTGACCAATATCTTCCAATGTATACCGGTGCAATACTACTACAATAAAGACTTGGGAGGACACTGCATGTCGGGACAGGTTCAATTCTTCCAGGCCATGGGCTCGATCGCATTAATTGAAGATGTGATCATTCTCTGCCTACCAATTCCTGTGTTCTGGAGGTTACAGATCAACAATCGGCAAAAAATCGCATTAACCCTGGTGTTTTCGCTGGGTGGACTGTGCGTGAATCCTTTCCCCCACATGATATATCGCTTCCTTCTAATCACAAATCGCAGTGTCTGTATCTTCAGTCTGATGCGCCTGATTGAATTCCGCCAATTCCAGCTCACCGATCTTGCCGGTTCGTTCCTAACCCCAGCTTATACAACGACTCCAACTAACATCATCCAGCCTCAAGTGCCAAAGAGTCCATCTGGACCTGCCTCGAACTCGATGTGGCTATCATTTGTGGTTGCCTCCCGTTTCTTAACCCACTCGTGCAAGGCGTCCGCAGCAAAGTCAGAAGTGACGCCTCAAAGTATCATTCTCAACCTTCTACCGGATCCAATCTCCATTTACACTCGATGCGGGGAAGCAAAGGCAAGTTTCGAGCGCTAGGTAGTGATTGTGGAGCGTCATCGAACTCAATTCACCGCAATGCCGTGGCTACGGCAAGTCAAAGCTCTGATGCGGAGAATAATAGGCAGGATGATGGCGGGCGGTCCAACAGTATCAGGGCTTCATAATTTTTCTAAATACAAAATCAATTCCCAGTCATTAATACGCATTTCAATCCCCCGCCATATACTGATCCCTACATTGCTAATCTAGCAACGAAGCTCGCCGTGGTCGTTGCTGATGCATTTGTCTAAAACCCCAGCTTGTTAGCCTCTTCTGGAAAGTAACCTGTATTATACCCAAGGATTGACTTACTGAGGTCAAGAGTAGTAGCGACATATTTATGATCATCCTCTGAGTTACGGCACTGACAAGAAAACTCGGCGGTTCCACGAAGGGTGCAGTTGATGCAAGAGCCGGAGTAATTGCCACTGCTTTTGTTAGACTCTTTTGTTCGACTCCGATAATAACCACTAGATATCCAACTTACTTCTTTCCGCACTATAGGTAGGTTAGCATTATTCAAATTCGAGTGTTTTGGATCGATCTCTTACCTTCAGCTTGCCCTTGTTGTTCTTGATACACCGGTTCAGGTCAAGTGTGCTTGGATTCAGCTGACCATTCTCCCTCTCCTGGCACTGTGCTCGCAGAGTTGTACCATCGCCATCAATATCTTGACAGGTGTCGGCAAACTTGGAAGGGCCGGCCAAAGCCATGGCTACGAAAGGGAGAAGTCCGAGGGCCTTGAGGAAAAGCATATTGAGAGTGGTTGCTTGAGGGTATTGAGATAATTGCGATTGATGCCGAATGGCGTTTTTTTGTGAGTAATGAGCAGTCGGGTCTTGAGGATAGATCGTCTCGTTTATATACCAATTCAATTCCTATGTTTTCAAGACTCTCGGACATTCAGCTCCAGCAAGAAACGAATGCATCTGATCATAAGGCACAGCAGGTCTAGAATGGCTCCTTACTTTATTCAAAAAAAAAACAACAACAACCTGGTATGAGGTGGAATTATCAGGTCTGTCGAGATCATCTTGCATAAGTCCTCCACAGTGGCGTATATTGCTGCTTCAGGGCTGGGCCAAATCTTGGTTGTTCATATGTCAACCACATTGGTAGAATATCATGGCTGACTTCTGCCTTCTTGTGAGGTGTTCAGGGAAGTTATATACAAAACTGAAAAGCTATTTGAGCACAACCCAAGTATTCACATAGCCAATAAGCAAACATGCCTAGACCGAGACAAATCACTACTGCTTCGATACCAATAGTTTTTAAACCAGAAAGAGTCATAAGATGGGATAGCGGTGTGTCAAGTCTATCTTGAGCCAAGTGTGCAATGTAGATCACGGTATATTGATCTACGATGTCTCTGCAAGGGACACATCAGCATGTTTTTCTCTTCAGCACGAGGGTGTCACTAGTAAACACCACGCATTGGGCATTACCTCATGCGTAAAGCCGAGCTAATGAAAGTTCAATCCAGAGGAGTTCTAATGCTGTAATACAAGTTGTTACAGTCAGTCAACGCTGGATTGGTCTACAGGTGTAACCTTCCTATTTAACCTTCTCCACACCCCACATTGAGTCCACACGCTTGCTTGCATAGTCTACCCCTTGTTTTAGCGTCTTGTTTACCTTTCCACCGTGTTTGGGTGATATTGGGATCTCTAGCAACAACCAGACTAGGGTTTGAAGCGAGAACTATATGGTGGGTGAGGACTGGTCGTAATTTCCAGGACGAGGGCGGACCACTCCATCGCTCAGCTAGTCCTAGAGACTAATATCGCCAAGCTAAGTAGGAGCTGTTGTGGCAAGACGATTAGCGGTCTATGTAACTCACCAGGTCGGATTTCTCGCGATCAGCATCGTCTAGAGTGCAATTAGCTAAGTAAGGCGTGAGGTTGGTGCCTTATTTTTTTAACGTAGCAGGGCGTGGAGCTGTCTCCGGTCAGAAATTGATGGTCGTGACTAGGGAACTGAAGGGCTTTTATATACGATTGATCAGTGATGCGAGCACATAATACTCTACTGGGGCTGTGATATCTCTTGAGATAGGTCACTGCATCATCATATTTTACCTAGATACTACTTTTAGATATCTCATCCCTCACAACCAATCCTTAAGCCCACATAGCCTTGAACTTGGTATCAAACTCGCTGTGCAGTTCTTTGAAGGCCTTGGCAACCAAAAACATAGATCTGTGAGAGTTGTCCACTGCCTTCTCTTGCGTGGTTTTAGAGCTGAGCCCGTTGGCCGCATCTTTGGAGGCAACGATCGCTTCCTCCTCGCTTTCCTCATCTTCGTCATCCATCTCATCCTCCCAGCTATCCATCACAACCTTCTTTGCTTTGGGGCGAGAGCTAGGGATGGGAGCAGCAGGCACCGTCTGCTTGTTGTCTGGTTTCACACCCAGCTGTGCAGCATTTTCAGCCTCAATCTGATCGACGGCCTTATCGTCCACGAGATTCTCGTAATCGTCACCTCCGCCAGCAACATCGAGCATGTCAGCACCGATGTTGCCTCCAGGCTTGAGGAACCCTTCAATGCTAGTCTTGATGGTGGCCAAAGTCAATGAGAAGTCGTTCAGCACGAACCAGATGTCACCGCGGCGAATGCGGTTTTCAGTCTCCAGCTGAGAAACATTTCCGTGCTTGAAGAAGTCATACAGGTATGCATTGAGAGGGGTCGCGTTCTCGTTGGGGTCAACAGCCACATGTGGAATGACAGAATCCTCAATCCAAACGCCACTGCGAACCATCTGGCTAAGTTCAAAGACAGTGTCGCATTGGTCTCCGTTTCCTGAAAGGGCGAAGAATGGGGAAACTATTGATGGGGAGATGTGGTCGAACTGCGAGAAACCGAGTTTCTTGGAGGAACTTTCTCCACCGCACTTGATCCCACTGAATGGTAGCAAACAGTCAGGTTCCTTGATATGCTGCTTAACGAAAGTAGAGACGTAGCCCATGTAGACGTCCAGGACCTGTCTGTTGTGAGCCCGTAGGGCGGAGGCTGCTTTTCTCGGGAGAGGTGGAAGAGCCACGATCGAGGAGGGCTTCTTTTCGGCGTTCTGGAACCATTCCAACGTGGAAGCTCGCAGGGGAATACGGCCGAAAAGGTGGGCCATAACCAGCATTAGAGTATGAACAGTCCTCTTTGGTTTCGTCTCTATGTCCTGACAGAGATCTTGGAGGTATCCCGAATTCAGTAGGGCATGGAAAGCGAAACTAGAATTCTCTGTGTAGTACAGATGAGAGATACAGCCCGCAAAGTTCAAAGCCATACCAGTACTGCTAAGAAGATTGTTTCGTCGGAGGTACTCGATGGAGAATCGGAGATGGTGGAGCACCGTTTGCTTCATCTCAGGGCCACCGAGGTGGATGCGAGAACTTGAGAGTATCGAGTTGATTGATTTCACCGCAGATGGAGCTTGCTTTGAGCCATGCAGCAAGATGAACAGTCGTAGAACCAAACTTGTTGTGATGGGGAAATGTCCACTGAGACTTGGGAGTCTTGAGCTCATCAGACGTTGCACCTTGGATGGCGGAACCTCTTGGAAAACAACGTTTCCGAGGACGTCAAATCCACGACGTCCTGCTCTTCCAGCGGCTTGTCGGAAATTCAGGGCTGTCAAGAAAATGGAATCGCCCGAAAAAACGACTGTCTTACAAGGCATGTTGATACCCAAGGCCAAAGTACCAGTAGCAATCACGACACGCAGGAAGCCTTTCCTAAAGAGGATCTCACAAACTTGACGGTACTTGCGATTCATACCGGCATGATGGACACCGATTCCTCGCTCTAGGGCATCGATCAACCATTGAGGCACCGAGCGCCACTGCAGCTGCTTTGCATAGACAAGGAACTCGGAAGCGGGGACTTTCTTGAAGTCAGCCAAATGGAATCCATCCACAGGCCTCTTCGGGTCAAAGAGATCAAGCCAGCCGAAGTCAGTAGATGCTGATTCTTTGGCTTGCTCTGCTTTGGAAGTTGGCTCTTCGTCGGCGTTTCCACTTGGTTTCTTCTTGGTAGCTCTTTCAAGCTTCTTCTTTGCTGACAACTTGGATGTCTTCCATACTTCCCATTTGGCAATCTTGGATTTCCATACCGGGCTCTCTTCTTTCCATTTTGTCTCAGCATCTTGTAGCTGTGTCAACAGGTCTTGGCATATATCTTCACATCTACCGCGGTCGTAATTGAAGAATAGGGCGGGGAGAGCATTCTGAGCGTGTAACGAGGAGATTAAAGGGAGGGTTGTGTCGACCAGGTTACCGTTTAGGGCGTCCGAAAGGCCATTCATCCGAGAAACCTGTTTCGACAAGTCCTTTTCTTTTTCGACTGCGAACGCTGTTGGGTGTTCAAGATTGAGCAAAAGTTTCTCAAATGGAGATTCTTGGTCTTTCATCCACTTCCCCAACAACATTTTCAGTCGTTTCTGCCATTCTATGATATGCACTTTTTGAATGACAATATTTGAGAAAAAGACGGTGGGATCCAAAGACGGATCAACAGGGAACTGCTCTGTTTGAAGGTCCTTCATTGCTTTCCACAAAGTGAAGCAGTCGCGTGGCTCAAAGTCAAGATCATCTGGTATCGATCTGGTGCGGTCCAGCAGGCTGGTGACAGGATGAACGAACGTCATATCATCTGCTCCATCGAGACCCAAACGGGCCAAGCTAGGAGTACTGGAAAACCCTTTGAACGCGAAGTCACCGTGAGGCTGGTAGACGTACTTTCGCAAATCCGAATAACGATGTTGATGCTGAATCATCTTGAGTTCAAATCCATTGGTTCTCTGGGCAAAATCCAGCCAGTTGTAGAATTCCTGTGGGTTTCCGACGGTAGCTGAGAGGGCAATAATTGGGCACGGGGACATCAGAAGCAGTTGCTCCCAAACCACACCATCCTCGGCCTGGCCAATGCAATGAATCTCATCAAAGATGATACGTCTCAAGCGGGGAGTCCATGCGTTGGCGTTCGATGGATTAAGCAGCATGATCTGAAGAATCTGGGGAACTGTGATGAGAATTTGGCATCCCTGAGGATTATTGATGCGGTAGTCTCTTGTGTGGATGGCCCAAACCGATTTACCACTGGTTTTGGCTGGGAACGACTTGGAAAATCGGGCTTGCACCTCAGCTGCGATCTGATTGACAAGAGCCTTTGTGGGGGCGACATAAACAAGAATTCCATCGTTATCTTCTTTCAATATCTGTCTCATCGCATAGAAGCTGGCGAATGTTAGCATGATTCTGAATTAGGACATATTGTGACTTACGAGATGAATGTTTTTCCCGCACTCGTTGGGGCCACGATGAATGCGCTCTTCTTTGCATCGATCTGGTCCAACACTTCACGCTGCCAGCGATCGGGCGCAAAGTCAGGCGTCCGGGAGTCGGGCAATGAGTCTATGCTGCGCTCCATGAAAGGCCCACCGTGTTGAAGCTGGAATTCAACTGGGCTCATCTCGATACTCATGCTGGGTGCTGCTTTAGGGATCTTGAATGACGGGAAAGATAATTTCTGTTCACTATCGGCATGAAGCTGAAGAGCTGGCAAACCAAGTATTTGACAGACTGTCGAGACATATGCGACAATATCAGATGAGATGCCTTGCTTGATTTTCACGAGACATGTGACGATCTCCCAAATGCGTGTCACAATCAACATGTGCTTTTTACTCTGCACATTTATGCGTTCGGCAAATAGAAGCCGTAGCAATGTGTCGATCATGCAAGTCAGGATTTCAGGCTC